GAGGCCACAGCACAATAAAGTAATGAAGTAATGGGTAATGAAGTAATGAAGCTTTACTAAACCTGGGATTGCAGAACCAAAGAGTTTGATGACTTTGATGAGTGTAGAATATACCCACAGTATAAAGAAATACCAGTTTATGGCATGGTGGGTGTTTGTTAACTCATAACACAGTTGTAAACAAATGTGTCTAATAAACTCTCTTTTCTCTCAGTAATAACAGTGGCAGCTGCGTTAGCGTGGCTTTTCACGGGTGTTAAATAATTCAGTGCATAAAAACAGGTGCACAGATGTGCAGTGTTTAATAAAATAGTTTTCAAACATTTCAATTATTGAATTTTATAAAGCAGCAGCCTTAGATGTAAATTAATAATGTAAATTAAGTGGTTTGAAACTCTTTAGCTGTGTGGTTTGATCAGTTGTGCTCAGGTAAGCTCTGAGAACACATAGACTAAAGAAAATATGGACACTAATGGGTTAAAGTATATCATGAGTATTGTGTAGAAGTGTGTCAGTCGTGTCACTACCATGTGTAATTAGAGACTAATCACTTCACAGAATACCAGCACATGTCTAGTCTGAAGACGAGGGGTTGCTGGATCATTAGGGTCACAGGTGTGTTTGGTCTCTGAGATGGAGACAGCAGGGGTGTGTTTGGATGCATTTAAGTGTGTTTGGATGTGTTTTGGAGGAAACAGTACTGTCGGAGGAGACTGAGGGGGGTATTGATTTCTTTTGTACTGCTGTGTGTGTTTCTGATACTTAACATGATCTTTACAGCCATTTCATCACACTAACATGGAGGGTCATACAGCACTTTCAGATGCACGCATGCACATTGGGGAGAATATCAAATTGCGGTTTCTCTGACCAAAATTGCAACTGCGATTTCATTGCCATTATTTTCTTTAAGTTAGGGTCTGTGCCTCTCTGTGCCTTTTTTTGGCTTGAGGCTTCAATGCAGAATGTGAAAGTTAGTATAGATGGATTTTGGTAGCAAATGTAGACTTGTTTTTTTCCACCTCTGTTTTCTAGCCTGCATATCTCTGCTCATATTGGGGAAGTGGTTGTGATTGTGTTTGTATGTGTTTAAAAATGAACAAAAATTGCAGTGTATGCCCGGCGGAAATATCCCAAGGTGGAATGTTTAAATTGACCAATAAGTTGTTTGTTCATTAGTGTGGCAGCATATGTTAGCTTATGTCACATGGTATAAGGTAGTATCGGATGTTGGTATCGGTGCATTTTTATGAGTATGAGTAGGAGTAAATAAGCGTAATATCAGGCTGATACTGCCACCAGTATCGGTATCGATGCATCCTTAGTTTCTCTAAATGATGCGATATACCCCAAAAACCAAAGAAAGGAGCCCACAAATTGAAATTCAAATAGAAAGATTTTTAAGAAAAAGATTTAATAGAAAAAGTGCTTTTCAGAGTTACATGAACACAGAGAGGAAACAATTGGGAGAGTTATACCTTTACGCAACTTAAATCCAAATCAGACCAACTACGCATGAAATTACTGATTTGTCAGTACATATGAAACTGTTATAATGTAAACCTGGATTGATTCAGAATGGGGGCCTTCAGAAAAAGCCTAATGATTTCTACTAATTTAAAAAATAAAGGTCTGTAATTTTTAGCTCATTTCTATTTTAATAGAATAATGCTTGTATTTAAATTCTACATGTTACAGTACTACTTGTTTCATTGTTAAAGTGTGGATGAAAACAAAAGGATTACATTTTTCAAACACTGAGGGGAAAATTGGCCAATCAGAAATAGTTTTTCTCTGTGGTATCTTCAGGAGCTGAAGGGAAGCCCCAAGGTGTTTGATGAAACAGCATAATTACAAAGTGACAGAGGAATCAACTGATCATGTTTTGATTTCATATATGTGTGAAAAAATGTCACTCTGTGCCTTCTGCAATGGCAGCTCCAGAAAACAGGCAGCTCTATAGCGGTCTCTCTGCTGAAAGAATCACTGTGAACTTGCTACAAGGTAAAACATATAATAAAATGTCTGTCACAAGCCACAAGTAAAACATGGAATATCTTTAAGAAGCTTCAAATATCTGTGTTTAATCCAAAATGGCCAAAAAATGTACATGCAAATTGCCGTTAACCGGAGACACTAGCAGAAGAAGCATTATCATAGAGGTGGGTTTTTTTTCCTCGTGTTTTGACTGAGTTTTGACATTTGTGGCCTAAAGTGAAGGCCCAGCTAGAGCTGGGCGATATGGCCAAAAACGTTATCATGATAAACAAAATTCATATCGTTTGATTTCGATACATATCGCGATAAATGTCAAATCATTATTTCTTTCACGTTTGAAGGCTGATTTTGCTCCTGGGTGGTTAATTGTGGTTTTAAACTATCACTTATGGTCCGATCATGACAAACACTCACCAAACAGTGGAACATTTCACAAATCTGTCTTGGGACAGTGAGAGAAAGTTTCTGAGCTGTTTTTATCAGCTGGAAAAGCACAGCTGCAATTTTTGTAATAGTCATAATTTAAGAAAGAAAACAGATTATTTTTAGCTGTCTGGTGACGAGCACTCAGCTATCCCATTACAAATGCTAAGCAAGTGGCCAACAACAGTGCTAAACTCTTTAGTTTCTCAACAACGTCAACTTGGTTCGGTAGGTCACTGGTCTCACTCCTACCACATCCATGTCAGAGCATATCACAGTATTCAGACACCAGCTAGCGACGACTGAATTTCTCTATGCTATCGTAGTAGTTTAATATGGAGGACCAGATTTGCCAAAATGAAAAATAAATAAAATTAAAAATAAATAAATATACATAACAATTAATATATTAATAATTAAAATCTTACATAAATTAATATGTCTGCATTTATTTATGTCTGTTTAGTAATTTACCCTTCTCACTAATTTTTTTATTTATATTTTTGTTATTTATATGTTTCTTTATTAACATTTTTTCAGTTTTTCTGTTAATTTATTTTATTAATTTATTTCTATAACTATTCATTTCTATATTTATTTATTTCTCTATTTATTTCTGTATTTCCTTGTCCTTATGCTAATAAAGGGGCTGTCAGTCAATGTTGTCTCAACGTCTGAATATTCCTACTGGCTGATCGATGTCAGACTCTGTAGATCGATTGTACATGTCTTGCTCTCTCAGCGGTAACTAAGGACAAGACAGTACAATAATGGCTTCTTACAGCAGCAGACAGTCAGAGATCAGAGAGTCTCGGCTAATCTGGCTGAAAATGCAGGTCTGGATTATTGACTCTTCCGTTGGAGGCTGAGGGGACAGTTTGCTCCATTTTGCTGCCTCTGCTGATACAGAGGTCGACCCCGTAGTGTTCAGAACTTTGGAGGAGGTGGTTCATCGTCTTTTCCTGCAAAATTCAGATCACTCAGACATTCGGACGCCCTTTTCACATATGGCCTGTGGAAGCCATCGAGAGTTATTTATCGGCAGGTTTGTCTGTCCGTGCAGTTCTTTATGGAGTTGGTGAAAGAACAGTTTAATCAGCTCTTCTCCTCCTGGTCTTGATTGCTAAGCCTGAATGTGAAAAACACGCCCCCTCATTATCATATGAACGAAGAAATACAGAAATAAATAAATGAATTAATGAAAAAATAAATAAATGAGTTGATGAAAAAATAAATAAATGAATACATGAATCAAAGAATAAAGCGAACAATTGTTAAAAATATAGATATGGAAAAAATATAAAAATGGCAACCGCAAAATATCTGACGTTCGCTGTGTAAAAGCATTATCTGCAGTATGAATCTCTCGCACCAGTCAAACTGAGTCCTCCTTTTAGGTATGTTTAAACTGAAAGCGGTGATTTTGTGTCTTGTTTGATCTACCGTATCATCAATTCACTGTGTTGTGCCGGAGCGCCGGAGCGCTGCTTCAAGTTAGCCAGCAGCTAAAAAAAAGCTAGCCTGGAAAACTAGCGCTCTCCTGCTTCCCAATGCCTCACAGCTTCCTCAGTTTACTTTCGTTTAAATCAGGGCTGTAACTCACATTAACCCACTTCTTTCTTTCACTTTCGTTGCTCGAGAATGCACTAATACTAAAATATGACGGTTTGGCGCTGGAACACGGCGCTACAGACATGATTTAACACTGCTAAAGTTGTTAGTAGATGCACGGAAAGAGATGAGTTCACCGTAGGACAGTACAGTTACGTCACTGATCTCGTCACTCACACTCGGTCACAGGAGAACAGATCAGTCAACAAAGTGTCCCTCATTTGCATCCTTATGACATCTGCAATATGTATGTGTATGCCTCTCTGTCAGGCCCAAGGTCTCAAAGATTCCCCAATAGTCTCCACAAAGTCACTTTCACCTGGTTCTACAATTATGGAAATAACCAGATTCAGCTCATCTACCTTAGACCACATTAATCCTTATCTCAATTACAATAACTTTCTCAAAGAACGGTAAGTTTAAAGCACCATGATGTCTATATTGTATGTGATGCTGATAAAATGGACAGAGTGTAGATACAAAGAGCTGTCCTCCTTGTTTTCCTATTCTGGATGTTTCTGTTACTGTGCCTTTGAGACTGATGTAAATGATCTTTGCCCAATGAAGCAAAATACAGGGCAAAGATCATTTATATATATCAGTCTCAAAGGCACAGTAACGGAAACACCCTATTAAATTTCAAGGGACAAAGAAAGATGGGAAAATGTTTATGAAAAAATGAATTATGACAGTTTTTGGTACATAAAACCACATAAATGCTAAGTAATAAGAGGGAGAAAATATACTAGAAAAATGCCCTTTAAGATTGCTCCACATTGTTTGAGGCCAATGTGTGGTGATTTAGGCATGCTAGTTGGTGAGGTATAAGTTACCATTACTTGTTAGCTACATTAGCCTTGTAGCTCCATGGCAAAACTATAGAAGCAGACTTCAGAAACCAAATGTTCTTTGGCTGATCCAACATCTTTAAACATATTCTCCTCTTTCTCTCTTGTTCTCTTTTTTAGGATCTACTCAAAGTTCCATGCCCGTCGCATGGCTGAGCTGTCAGAGTCAGGATTACATAATTTCCTGCTGCTGTTCCTGGTGTTGGCACGCTGTGGTGATCTGGAGGACGCTGCCGGACGAGCGTGTGACCTGCTTAGCTTGCTGGTACCTGGGTCAGTGCCCCCGACCCTCTGTGCCCTGCAGTGGCGAGGGCAGCTGGCCCTGCTGCTGCTGTTTGGTGGGCATGGGCTAGACCTGGCACCACTGGCATCCAAACTGTCCTCCGCCTTTACTGACGCCGCCCGCGAGTTCTACCTGAAGACGACGGAGCCAGCCCGCCGGACTGCGCTCTGGCGTCCCCTGTCTGCATACCTGGAGGGAGCAGCAGAGCTGTGGCAGACCAGCGCCACCTTGTGCCAGTCTGAAGAAGCACTGCTTGGGGAAGGGTTTGGCCTGCTGCTGCCTGCATGTCGCACAGCTGAGCTAAACACAGCACTGAGCTTTCTACAGACTGCACTAACACAGCTACGGTAAGCACAAACACACACTTGCTGCCCGCCGAGTCGACAGAAAAGGGGGGGCACATCCCCTATTAAGAACCTTGATTTCCAATGAAACATTGATGAGCAAGTGTCTACCAGAGTATGTGAGTGGTTGCTCTTTAGAACATTAGAGCGTCTGTGTTCTCTCTTGTTTTGAAATCACTTCAGCACCACTCCATCCCATGAGCCAGTGCTTTTTTTTCCCGCACACTGACTGCCTCTGCAGGACGAGCGATGCAGCAGCATGACTGCTATAGTCCACACATGCCATTCATACACAGCATTTACACTGTTGAACTGTTCAGCAGACCTACATACTGGAATTTCTCAAGGATCGCAACACAGTTCTACACAGATTACACACACTTTGTCTCCTGTCGTCTGTTTCGCTGAATTAAAACATAAAGATGATCATATTAAAAGCGCGTGCTTTTGTTTACCCTCTGAAGTTTTCTGGCTTGTAACTGAACTGCTGTTTCAAGCCTGTTGACCTTGCAGTCATACAGTCTGCTGGTTTGGTCCCGTGTGGCCTCAGTGGGCTCCGAAACCTGTGCTGTCTTTCTTTCACATTGACAATGGCTGGATTGTGAATACGTTCTCTATCCATAGTGGCAGTAAAGGGGTGTGTTTGAGTGTTTGTGTGTTAGAGAGAGTGTATGGGGAGGCTCCTGTGTGTGTCTCTGGGAGTCTGAGGCCCCTGGGTCACATTCTACAGGTGCTGGCAGAAAGCTGTGTAGAGTTTCTGCGCTGTGTGTGTGTGAGAGAGACTGAGAGAAACTGTGTGTGAAAAGGCCAGAGGGTTTGTGACTAAGCAATGTGTGTCAGAGGGACGGTGTGTGAAAGAAAGGAAGTGTGTGTGTGTGTGTGTGTGTGTGAGAGAGAGAGAGAGAGAGAGAGAGAGAGAGAGAGAGAGAGAAAGGGAAAGTTCACTGCAGGGACGATGGTGTATCTTACACTGCTCGCACATCCACAGGTGACAAAGAGCACCTGAATCTGTATGTGTTTGTTTTCATATATTTTCAGGGTAAAAATGTCTTTTTACGAAAGCTACATTTTTTTTAATTCTTAAAAACAGAAAGGAAAATCAAAATTTTTTTATTCTTGAGGTTACGTTTAGGCTTAGAAAATTATTACATATACTGTACAGTCACATGCGAAAATTTGAACACCCCCAGTCAAATCGGATGTTTTGTTGAAATGAACACATCCTCTATGGGATTTCATCCTGTACATCCTCAACAAACTTAAATATAGCATTTTTCTACTAATTTTAGTGCACAGTTTTTATTTACTTGCTGATTTTCACATGTTAGAAAAAATAAAAGGTAAATGTACAGTAATGTTTGCACAGGCCTGTTGCACTTATTTCTCCCCCCAGTTTGTTACATTCAGCAAATAAATAGTAATTGTGCATTAAAATGCGCATAAGTGTGTCCTCTGTAGAGGATGTGGTAACTTATTTTCACCTAGACAAACAAAACTTGTCATATGACCAGGGTTGCCCAAACTTTTGCATATGACTGTAACTTAGATATAGATATTTGCATATATATCATACAGTACTGTGAAAGAAACTACCCTTCATTTATTTAATTTTCATTCAAAGTACAAAGTACAGCCATTAAGTACAAAGTATTTATTTTTATAGAGATTTTATAAGGAGAGTTTTCATTTTTGTCAGAAAGGAGAAAATCAGTCTCCACGCTTGGTTCAGTTCTATAAAAATCCACAGCTGTCAAAAAGCTGCTTCTTAGAAAAGAAAACAAATAAAACAGACGAAAACTTGCAAATCAAAGAAAGAAGTGTTCTCAGAACAATGAACTGACCACCTCTGCATCACTGAATTTGTTTGGGATTACTTTGATTGTGAGAAGCAAAACTTCTAGGACTGAACTTTGGAAATGTGGAAAAATAACCCTGCAGATTTCTTTGAAAAACTAAAAGCAAATATATTTTCTGCTTCTTACTGACTTTGAAAAAGGAACATATATGTATATATACAGCTGCTTTGACTGGAAGTTAAATCAATGAAAGGCGATCTCTGACTTTTGCACAGTACTGTACATATGAGACGTATGTAAACATGTTCATGCTTTGCGGATGACTACTCAAGTTCTTGAGATTTTTTATTCAGGTCTATCACACCGTCATACAATATTTTTACACACATTTCAGACAGCCTCCCGGAAGTATTAATAGAGAGATAGCTCAATCCCCTCACTGGTGAACTGCCGTCACTAATGTTAATCTTCTCTGCTGTGCTTGTTCCCAGCATGCTTGGGTGGGGGGCCGCTCATTAGCTCATTAATAGCTGATAAGACACAGCCGGACAGTGTGTGATTCACACACACACATACTGACCCAGTTTATGAAAACTGCCACCCGTCCATCCATCCCCACAAATTACTCTTAATTTCTGTGCCGTTTGGCGCTATCGCGGTGATTAATGCGTTTTCACTGACACAATTAATGTGTAATTACAGTGGTGTGTAAATTAAGCCGCTGAAAGCTTTAGCTGAATTATCCTGCAGGACACACACTGCTGCCGACTGAATCTGACCAATAATACGCACACATGACATCGGCCAAGAGCCAATCACACTCTAATTCCACTCATTGCATTCTCTCCCACGATCCTGTGCGTGTGAGGTAAGCGAGTTGTCACCGTGGCGACCCCCGCCGTGTGCCGAGCCACTAATCGAGTTCTTGGTAATCGATTAATCAGGTTTCTCTCCTACTGTGCTCTCCCCCCCGTGCCCTGTTCCCCAGTGTGCGTGTATGTGTGTCTGTCTGTCTGTCTGTGTATCCGTGTGTAACTGTGTCTGTGCGTGTCTGTGTCTCTCTGTGTGTGTCTATGTTTGTATGTCTGTGTTTGTCATTTTGCTTAATGTGAATCTACCTTAGACATGGACATGTAAATCTTCTAAGATGAATTCAAGGAAAATTTTCTTTGCTTTTAATGATTCAGTTTTACTATAAATCCTTCAATAAATCTTTTATGTTGCATAGATATAATTTCCCTGGTAAAAGACTTATTGATCATATGTGTCTGATGTGAATGAGTGTGTAATTGGATGAGAGGATCAGGAGTTAAGAATGTCACAAAATCACAAAGTTAACCAAGCCATCAAGTTTGGATCACCTGCCTCCTACACACTGCCTACTACACACTGTGTACTGCACACTGCCTTCTGTACGCTGCCTTCTGCACACTGTGTGCTACACACTGCCTTCGGCACACTGCATACTGCACGCTGCCTTTTACATACTACATACTGCACACTGTCTTCTGTGTTTTGCATACTGCATACACATTGTGTGCTTTCTTCTAAAAACTGTGTACTGCACACTGCCGTCTACACACTGCACTCTTGTCACTACTTGCATACTCAGTGTTGATTGTTATGGGTGAGTAAAAGTACAGTGTCCAAAGTAATTATTTATACATTTTAATTCTTTCTCTCTGCCACTGTCTCCCCTTCTTCTCTCTCTCTCTCCGTCTATCTCTCTGACCATCTCTGCTACTCACTGTTGCTCTCTTTCTTTATTTCTTGGTCTCTTCCTCTCTCTTCTGTGTCTCTTTTCCTTTTTTCTGTGCCTTACTTATCTCTTTTTATCTCTCCTTATCTCTCACAGTGTCTCTAACTCCCTCTATCACACTGCTTTCTACGCACTGCGCACTGCTTTCTACACACTAAGTACTGCCTACTACACACTGAACACTGCCTTCTACCCACTCTGCCTTCTACACACTATACACTGACTTCTACACACTGCATGCGGCGCACTGCATTTTACGCACTGTTTTGCACACTGCCTTCGACACACTGCACACAGCACACAGTCTTTAGCACACTGCAGTCTGTACACTGCCTTCTACTCACTGCACACTGCCTTCTACACACTACATACAGTTTTTCCTCTAGGATTTTTTCAGCAGCAGTGGTGGGCCAATTGGTGTGTGTGCACACTTGTCAGAGCTGTGAGGTTTATTTCATGTGTTTCTGTCAGGGGAGGAATTAAGAGGATCTCAGATGGTACGTGTGTGTGAAGATGGGATTTAGAGGGATGTGTGTGTGTGTGTGTGTGTGTGTGTGTGTGTGTGTGTGTGTGTTGCAATGTGAGTGTTGTGTATGTAAACGTTCCTCCACAGAAACGAGTCTAATGAATTCACACACTAATTGATTGGCTTGCACTCTGTGGATTAGGTGTAACCTTGCTGGAAAGCACAGATGTGTGCAAGTCTGTGTGTGTGTGTATGTATTTATATTAGCGCTGCACAGTATGTTGTTTTTTCAGTTGTTATACAACCCCATTTCGAAAAATGTTGGGACGCTGTGCAAAATGTAAAAAAAAAAAAACTGCAGTGATGTGCAAATAATTTAAACCCTAAATTTCATTGAAAATAGTACAAAGACAATATATCACATTTTATTGTTTTTTGAAAAAATATATGCCCATTTTGAATTTGATGCCAACAACATGTTCCAAAAAAGTTGGGATGGGGGCAACAAAAGACTGGTAAAGTTGTGTAATGCTAAAAAAACACCTGCCGGTTAATTGGTAACAAGAGCATCCCACTGTCTTTGTAAGTAAAGATGTGGAGGGGTTCACCACTCTATGAAAGACTGCATGATCAAATAGTGCAAATTTGGTCAAATTTGGTATAAAAAGAGCATCCCAGAGAGGCTGAGCCTTACAGAAGTAAAGAAGAGGAGGAGTTCACCACAGTGAAAAGACTGCGTGAGGAAAATTTAAGAAACATACTTTTCAACGTAAAACAGCAAAGAACTTTCGCTTTTCATCATCTGTGGTACATAATAACATTAAAAGATTTAGAGAATCTGGAGAAATCTCTGTATGCAAGGGACAAAGCCAAAAACCTGTATTTGTTGTCCATGATCTTTGGGCCCTCAGGCGGCACAGCATTAAAAACAGACATTCTGTAGTGGAAATCACTGCATGGGCTCAGGAACACTTCTGAAAACCACTGTCTGTGAACACAGTTTGGCACTGCATCCACAAATGCAAGTTAAAACACAAAGAAGAAACTGTACATAAACAGGATCCAGGAATGCTGCCACCTTCTCTGGGCCTGAGCTCATTTAAAATGGACTGAGGGGAAGTGGAAAAGTGTCCTGTGGTCCTACAAATCAAAATCTGAAATTCTGTTTGGAAATCATGGATACTGTGCTCTCCGGGCTAAAGACCACTCAGCTTGTTATCAGTGCACAGTTCAAAAGCCAGTATTCATGATGGTATAGGGGTGCATTAGTGCACATTGCATGGGTGATGTGCACATCTGTGAAGGCACCATTAATGCTGAACACTATATACATGTTTTGGCAACATATGCTGCCATCTAGATGACGTCTTTTTCAGGGAAGGTGCCTAACAACATTCTGCATGTATTACAACAGGATTGATCTGTATTAAGAGTCTAGGTGCTAAACTGGCCTGCCTGCAGTCCAGAATCTATTACTACTGAAAACATTTGGATGGTTATGAAATGAAAAATACGACAAATGAGATCCTGAACTGTTGAGCAGCTGAAATCCTATGTCAAACAAGAATGGGAAAACATTTCACTTTTAAAACTACAGCAGTTGGTCTCTTCAGTTCCCAAACACTTAGAGAGTGTTGTTAAAAGAAGAGGTTATGAAACACAGTGCTAAACATGCCCCTGTCCCAACTTTTTTGGAACGTGTTGTTGGCATCAAATTCAAAATGGGCATATATTTTTCAAAAACACAAAAAACAATTTCTCAGTTTCAGCATTTATTTTTGTTGTCTTTGTATGAGTTTCAATGCAATATAGGGTTTAAATGATCTGCTCATCATTGCATTTTGTTTTTATTTACATTTTGGGGAGTTAGTAGTGTAAATGCTTAAATTTGCCATGTTGTTATCATTAATATAATAAATATTGTCATCATAGTAGTGCTTATTTAAGGCTTAATTCTTCCCTTTTAAGTTTAATGGAATTTAAAACATTGGTGTACGTTACATCTGTGCATGGCCTTGTGGGTTGCTATTGGCTACTTTTAGCAGAAGAGTAATGTAAGCATATATATATATATATATATATATATATTTTAAATAAATGATTAAACTGACTATTTTAACAGATGTTTTATTGAGGCTGCACCCCACTGAAGACAACAATGAAAATGATACCACTGGGAATTCTCCCTAGAGTGCCCCTTGTGGACAGTCTTGTTAAACTTGAGTGAGTGAGGATGAGTAAGTGACTTACAAGCCAGGTCCATGAGGTGCTTCACATCTAAAATACATCATTTAATCGAATATATGATTACAGCTCATCCATGAGGCAGAAAAAAGAGGTGAAATATCTTCAATAGATTGGTCCAAAGGAGCCACACGTTCAAGATAGTATCAACATTTACAGCAGATCAACAAATATCTGCTAATTTAGGATTGTCTGCTGATTTGTCTTCCCGCAACACACAGTACATTCCTAAAATGCAGCCAAAACAAAGTGATGTATACAAACACTCCTGTTGATACATATACCATTTATACCACATGGCACGCATGGCAATAAGTGCATAAACTTGCACAAAGTTTACTTAAACTTTTTTAAACCCCTTGCCACAATGGATGTGCATGTACATAATAGTGTTTTTTTTGGGGGGGCATGATGATTGGTTGGTGGGCCTGCTTAGACTGAACATGCTTCATAGGATCATCACCCCCTCAACTACTGTAGTGTATCAAAACAAGTAATGAATTTTGTGAATCGTTACACGCCTGCCTGCATGTTGAGTGTTGAATGTAAAGGGTCAGTAAAAGTGCAATGTTTAAAGTAATTATTCATACATTTTAATTGTCTCTCTTTCTGCCTCTCTCTCTCCCTATCTTCTTTCCCCATTGGTCCTTCTATCTGTCTCTTACTCTATCACTCATCACTCTTTCTCTCTTTACTTTCTTTCTCTCTCTGCTCTGTCCCTCTTTTCTTTTTTTTTCTCTACCTTACTTTCTCTCACCATCTGTCCCTCTATCGCTCTCTGCCACTTTCTTCCTTTTTTTCTTTGTCTCAATTTTTTTCTTTACCTCTCTCCTTAACTCTCCCTCTCTTGCTTTTTCCCTACTTTACTTTTTCTTTCTCTCTCACCATCTGTCCCTCTATTTCTATCTGTCTGTTTCTCTGTCACTCTTTCTTTGTTTCTGTCCCTTTTTTCTACCTCACCCATGCTCTCCCTCTCTCTTTATCTCTCTCTCTCTCTCTCTCTCTCTCTTTAACTCTCTCTTTATCTCTTTATCTCTCTCTCACTCTCTTTTTATCTCTTTATCTCTCTCTCTGTCTCCCTTTCTCTCTCTCTCTCTCTCTCTCTCCTCTCTCTCTCTCTCTCTCTCTAGGAGAGTACAGCAGCGTTTTAATCAGCTCGGCTCCTCTGACTTCCCCAGTTGGGCTCCTCCTCCCAATGTGGTTAAAGAGCGCCACCTAGCGGTGGCCGTCGCTCTGTGGACTCATTTCTTCCCATTCCTGCGCAGCCTGAGACTTTCTCAGACCCCCCCACCACAACTGGCTGACGCAGCCGCAGGTCAGAGCAGTGGGAAAGAAGGGCAAAGAGCCACAAACTGAATAAATATGAAGGAACACTCGATTCTCTGTCTGCTAGATCAGGTTGACAAACAAACAACTGTTTGACCAACGCTGTTGGTAAAAAAAAAAAAATTAAATTAAAAAATTTAATTTGAATGAATTACCAATAAACAGGCGTTCCTATTAGAATATTTCAGTTTATGATTCAAGTTGGGGAACGTCTTGAACTGTTAGCAAAGTAAATTGGTACGCTATAGGTAATTAGTTCTGCTAGATATTACTACTAAGAAATTGAAAACTGAAAATACTGATGTTCAGGAACTCTTTTCGGGAGGATGTTAGCACAAGTACGACCACGTACTACATTGTAAGAAAGTATCCGCAAGCAGTGACAGCTGTTTCGTCCATGTACTTTTAGAGTAAGTGTGATGCATGGTGAGTAAATGATGCAAGGGTGTGCAGATTTATAGAAAAGGGCACGGTGAGCAGTGACACACATATATATATATATATATATATATATATATATATATATATAAAACTAAATAACTTAAAATAACTTTTAGTATCTCGTCATTGTGTGTTCTAGCAATTTTGTCAACTTATTAGTTTTCGGTCATGCAATCATGAACATATAGTTGTCAGCCCTCTTTTTAAAAAAAAGGGGGTTTAACATAAAACATTATATGATTTATAGCCAGTTATTTCATATACTTGCTGATGCCGAGCCCTCTCTCTCAGTACTACCTTCCACAGTGTATAAAACATTAATACCCAATTTATTTAAGCTGTGCTCATAAGTGCGCATATAACAAGTTTTTACAATGGCTTTGACTATAGCTCAGCCAGTAAGAGCTGAGTTTACACACTGCATTAACATGTGTTTTGTGTCAGGATTGTATCTGGTTAAACTTTGGCTAGATTCTATTTACACTAGGGCTGAACGATTTGGGGAAAACACCTCCCTGCGATTTTTCTGACCAGTACTGGAACTGCGATTTAAATCTTAAATGTTTTCTTTAAATTGAAGTCCTGGCTTGAGCCTCCATTGCTGAACCTATTGTGCCAGAATGTCTGTTAGTTGTGGTTGTGATGTCACAGCACATGGGTTTTTGGTTACTTTTGATTGGTCCAACTCATCTCCAGCTCCGTATTATTAGATAGAATTTTTTCACAAAGACAACATTGTTGATAATGTAGGCTTTAATTAAAATTGCAGGTTTTTGCGATTTGGAAATTGTGCTCTTTCAAATTGCGATTTTGATATAAAAAAAATGTAATGTTTCAGCCTTAATTTACACTTTTCACTACAGTTGCGTCCAGATGAGATCAGAGACCAGATCAGTAGATCAAATACAAATCAAAATCAAATCATTTCCTAGAAGCACATCAAAATCGCATCAACACATGGGTGTGTTTACACCTGACATTTCTTATGGTCAAGTGAAATCTGAACGCGATCTGATCACCAAAAAAGCATGTTAATGTATGATGTAATAGGTTGCTAAGATATCTGGAGATATTTGTTCCAGAAATTATTTATAAATGTTATTTTGATGAGTTGTGTCATTGATTTAAGGCTTACCTGCTTAATAATTACTCACCAACTAATGACAGTTAATTTGCTTTAGGATTTAGGATATGCATAATCGACTGTATGCTACAGTCAAGCAGATAAAGTAACAGTTGAAAAACACTGGAGTATTTCTTTAATGATCATAACTGGCAATTCTTCCTCTTCCTAGAGAATGTAGCATTACTGTCCCCAGTGTGAATGTGTTCACCTGATCAGAACGTCACCATATAGTGGGAGCTTGTTAAACAAGAGCTGCAGCAAAGTGTCCATGATAACGTTACATCGTGTGTTGAATATCATTGTATACTGCAACACTGCAACACTACTTTTTCCTGTGATTTTGTTTTCTGCAGGTTTCACTTTGCTGGCTCTGGACATGCCTAGCTCCGCCCCTCAGGACCTCCAGCCCCACCCACTTCAGTCCATAATGCAGTGCTTTGGCTGGGACGAGATGCTCTGCCCCCTGCTGGTGACCAGATACCTCAATCACCTGCTGCAGAATGGGTAATCACAGCCCTTTGTTCCTTTTCTCTTTTTATTGACTTTGCTTGTTTGCTTTTTTATCTTACTTTCTTTTCTTTTCTTGTTCTGTTTCTCTCTTTTACTTTCTTTTCTTTACTGTATTTATTTCATCACTTTCATGCAAAAATCTTGTCTCCATTTTTGTAATTTTTTTTTACTTTTTTGCTTTTTTCATCTTACTTTCATTTCTTGTTCTGTTTCTCTCTTACTTTCTTTCCTTTACTGTATTTATTTCATCACTTTCATGCAAAAATCTTGTCTCCATTTTTGTATTTTTTTTTACTTTTTTGCGTAATTTGAAAAGTCCAGTTATTTTTTGCATTGTGTTAAAATTTCTTGTTTAACAGAACGATTAAAATACAATTAATTAGAAAAAAAAATCCTGATACATTAACTTCCATTACAAGTTTTGGAGATATGAGATTTTTTTCTGACTGCGATGATTTACATATTTCTTTATCTTACTTTCCCTTTTTTGGTTTTTGCTCTTTTTGCTTTTTTCCTTTCTTTTTTTCTTTTTCTCTCCCCTTTCTCTGCCTTTTTTTTTATCTGTCTTTAATTTATTTATTATGTTTTCCTGAAATGCATTGTCTCCTTTTTTTAACTTGGTTGCTTTCTTTCTTCCTCTCTTTCATTTGCTGAATGATTGTGTGCATTATGTAATTATTAAAGAAACCCCTACAGCAAAAAATTGAATTCACACAGTTTTCCTTTTTACCACAAATGTAGTCAATAGTGTTTAAAGTTTACTTCTTTATTTCTGCCATTAGTCTAATGTAGCTAACAAGTGATGGAAGTTAGCTCCAGTGTAAAACTAATAAAGCAAACCTCAGACACCAAACATGTCTTGGATGTTTGACAACGTGTAGGATTATTGGGAAGCTCTGGAAGTTTTGATATTTGACCGAACTATTGCTTTAAATTATGCTCTCCTCTCCGGTACTGCAGTGAGCTGGTGGGCTGGATGGGTTCTGGTTCTGCTTCTGCTTCTGGTTCGGCCCAGGCACTGTGTGTGAGGGCCTGGTTCCGCTGTGTTTTACAGCAGCATCTACACAAAAGCCCAGACAACAGCAGAACAGGTACAGTTCACTCAAAGCACGCTCATTAAGCCTCTAAAAGCACAAAAGGCACAGCCCTCAGTTGTCTTTTTTTTTTCATCTTTTTTCATATGCTGTTGGAATTATATAATTACAGTTAGTAGTAGATTAGGGCATGTTCACACTTGGCAGCTATGGTTTGATTAAAACTAATACTTGTGAAATTGGCCTGTTAGTGAAGTTCGTTAGAGTAATTGAGACTGCTAACATGTGAACATTGGTGCACATCAGATAAACAGACCGAGACCCTCTGAGGAGGTCGGTCTTGGCCCATTTTCAAACAAACTCTGGTGTAGTTTGTTTGAATATAATATGTCTAGACGGACCAAACACAGAATAATTCGTTGTTTCATGTCTACAAATCTTCACTGGTAGGCCCAACACATAAAATTCAGAAGCTGATTTCATATGTAGGCATGTTTATCATTTTGTCACAAGCTCTAAGTTGTTAATTATAGAACGGATAGTTTCGAACGTGGCTGAGGCACATTCAGAGCCATCATAAAATACTCAATCTGCACACATATGACTGCTCAAATATGTTCTATGTTAATTAATTTTTGACATTTTTGTGTGTTGAACTATCTGATTCCTGATGTGTGTGTGTGTGTGTGTGTGTGTGTGCGCGTGTGCGTGTTTGTAGGTAAGGTGCTGGATGAGCAGTTAGCAGAGTTAACCAGGCTGGTACTCCGGCTTCCAGAAGTAGACTCTTTGTTGCAGAGAGCGAGTTTACAGTCCACTGCAAGTAAATTAGAGCCTAAACCTGCGCTGGCACTGTTTATCAAGGTGAGAACACACACACAAAACTAGGGCACAATCATTAATTGATTGCGTAAAAACTTTGGCATGTTGTTTACTTAAAAACAAAAGCGTTCTGTAATGCTCTATTGTTTCATTTAAAAGCGCTTAATAATGCTCCATAATATTCTTAGGATTCACTCAGCAGTTCTGACAGATTGCAGTACACTATAGGAAATGTTGTGTGTATTTCCGTAACCAATTAATCTGTCCATTATGATTTTGATTAATAATTAACATCAAATATGTAACATTATACATTGTTTTATTTAAAAAATTAAAAAATTACACACATTATTTCTCATTTGCACAATGCTCTTTCAAACATAAAACCCCCTCCCTGTCTTCCAAGTCATATTTCCAAAAAAACAAAAGGGCTTTTTCTAGGGCATAGCATTGCTGTTGAAAACACAATTTTAATCAGTGTTAAATATTTTTTATTATTTTACGTTTTTTTTTAGATATTAACTGGAAGTTAGTTTGATTGGATCAGACTCAGCCGTACTGCTTGGTTTGATACCACTTGAAAACAAGGCATCTCGCTCGATACGCAGATTACAGCAATACAAAAGAAGTAGAAAGGAAAGGTCCTGCTAGCACAATGGCACTATTTATAGCAAAAGGCTTTGGGCTGACAAAAAAAAAAAATCACAGACAACAGTGTAAAAGCACAAAGTATAGCTATAAAATAATGGAATTTGCCTCGAATAACTAACCATTGTCTGTTTTCAAGGACGCTGGATGAAGTTCTATAATTTCGGTCCATCACCAGTATTTTTTAAATGTGGTGCTGATGAAATGTTTTTCTTTCTTCCAGCATATACAACTTCAGAAAAAAGTAAATGTTGTGATACATATTGTATATGAAGAAATGAATGAAAATAAAGTCGTGAGGTTCAGTCAATGGAAATGTTTGTGTTTATGCCTGTGTGTGTTGTGTGTTAGTCTGTAGGTCGTGTATACTCCAGTCTGCAACTGCTGTCTGAACGCTCCTCTATGGTGTGTAAAGCGCTGGAATATGTGGGTGACGTGCTAAAGTTTATTAAACCTTACCTGCTGAACCGCAGCTCAGACGGCCTACAACTCACTTACTGGACACTGGGTGGGTCACACACACTGCCACACACAGCTAGACACACATTATGCACACAGCCAGAATGAAGGGGGTAAATCTCTGATCTCACATTGATTCGATTTACAATACTTCAGGAAATGGTTCTCTACATAACAGTTCTTAATTTCACTTCATAGACAAATGTAACAAGAGGAACTGTTTACACAGTAATGGAATATACACTGATGAGCCAATGCATTATAACCACCTGCCTTATATGCTCTTGGTCCTCTTCGTGCCACCAAAACACCTCCGACCTGCCGAGTCCTCTTGGACTCTACCAGACCTCTGAAGGTGCCCTATTGTATCTGGCACCAAGACATTAGTAGCAGTTCCTTTGAATCCTGTATGTTGGGAGGTGGAGCCGCTGCGGATTGGACTTTTTCAGCACATCCAGCAGGTGCTCGATTGGTTGGAGATCTGGGGAATTTGGAAGTCTTGAACTCTTCATCCCGTTCCTCATACCAGTCCTTAACAATGTGTGCAGTGCGGCAGGGTGCATTATCCTGCTGAAAGAGGCTGTTACCATCAAGGAATACCATTGTAATTAAAGGGAGTACCTGGTCTGCAACACTGTTTAGGTTGGTGGCACATATAAGATTGATGTCCACATGAATGCCTGGATTTAGGGTCTCCAGCAAGATGCCTTTTAGAGCATCACATCCCAGGGGTTAGCAGGGGCAGTCTGACCAGTCAACTATGCAGCACCATATGCAGCAAATGCAATGCACTGTGACATTCCTACCATAATCATTAATAAAAATTTCTGTGACCTCTGTGCCACAGTAGCTCTTCTGTCCGATCTGACCAGACGGTTGCTTTTGTTGTCTTCACGCATCGCTGGGTCTTTGCCACCCAAAGCCTTGTTGACGATTTGAATTTTATCCCAACTTGGACCACTGTCAGTAGGTACTCACCTCTGCTGACTGAGAACATCCCACAAACTTTGCCGTTTCAGATATGCTCCAACCAGGTTGTTTGGCCATATTGATTTAGTCGCTCAGGTGTTCACACCTGCCCATTTGTCCAACATCCAACACGTTGACTACAAGAACCGAATATTCACTTACTGTCTAATATATCCCCAACCTTGACATGTGCTGTTACAAGATATCGTTATTTGTTTAATATGTGTGTGGTCATAATGTTTTGGCTCATCAGTGTATAACAATAAAAAAAACAGCACACCAAGATTTTTTTTTTTATATAGGTGTTTATAGTGCATTTTAGAAGACTGAAATTAATGCTGTTCTCAGGCTGTGTGGTGAAGCATTGGAGCCCCCTGCTGGCCACAACTAAAGCGCAGTCGCTGCTCCTGCGCATTGTGGATGTGCTGCTCTTGCCTCATTCGCTGCTGCAGCAGGACAAAGCCCCACCCACTCAGGTGCTAACTGCTCTTCGGGACACTCTGCCACTGTACCTGCAGGTGAGGGGCGGAGCTGTATATGGTCACGAGAACACGTTTTTGCAGGCTTTTGGTGTGTGTGGTGTGTTGTGCTGAAAAAACAAAGCCAAAAAGCACTTTTAATTTCCTTTTTTTGTACCATTGTAATATTTAGAATAATGTATTTTGCTTGTTTTATATGCTTTTAGACTAAACTTATTTTAACAACTACAAATAAATACAGAAAACCCTGTAATTGTTATAATGAAGTGAATTGGTCAGTGTTTTGAAGTGTTATAGGTTTATGTTTCATCTAAAATATTTTTGGTCCTAATTTTCAACATTTTTTTTAGGGATGCACCAATGCCACTTTTTCCCTTTTAATACCAATACCTGATCCTTGAGGATCGGTCAATACAGAGTACCAATACTAAGTCTGTTCAACCTAACTAGCTTATAAGTCCTGCTATTCATACAGTTCCACCTTTTAAATATTTTATTTTGGTATAAGCTGTGTTCTTTGACACTAATAAAACATATCAAGCTTGAATAAATGGCAAATACCATATGCCATAAAAATTCAGATGCTTAAACCTAACCTATTTTTGTTTGTTTACTATATGTAATTAGTATTTATTATTATATAATTTGTAAGCAGACCACATTTGAAAACTTAAATAAATGTAAAATATTTTTATTATGCAAAAAATGTATAGATAAACCTGTGGTCTGTACATGTAAGCATGCAAAAACCGTCAAACGTTTCACATCCCAGTTTCTCAAGTTATTTGTCTCATATGTGCATCCCGTTCCCTTGCACTTACATCTCTGAGTGTCAGACTCTCTGGAGTTTAGTAAATACTGCAGTCATGCACGATAACAGTAGCAGCAGTTAAGCCACAAATTTCTCAGCTTTGTTAAGGCCAAAGGCCATGAGACCCCACAGTGTGAGGCAACAGACCAACGGAGGTGCACCGCAGGCGGGGCCAGTGGACACACAGGACTGGCTAGCAGGTTGATTTGCTGAAGGCTACACCAAGGCTAAAGGCTCTCATTACCCTAGAGGCCGGTGGTTCCTTCCATATATCTCTCTAATGTTCCCTCCCTCAATAACAACCTGGACTACCATTAAGTCTGACTGTAACTGACCACACAATGGGTGATGAGGGATTACTGCTAGAAGTCTGGCTCAGCCGTTAAGGTAATTTGCTACGGTTAGCATGCTTTATGCTGTTTCCAAACGGTTTATCACCCACTACTATTGCCTTTCCACAAAGTACTGGAATTACAGATTTTGCCATGAGCATTGTTACTGCTGCCACCACCGATGTGTTGTTAAGCTCCGTCTACTGGCATTCGCATCAGAAAGGTATCAGCATCCCTATCGGCAAAACCCATACTACATTTCAGTGCTAGTATCGGTGCACATTTTTATTCTGTCTCTATATGGAAGATTTTTGGTGCATCCACCAGTGTAGTGTGTCTGGACAGAATGCTGAATGTTTTTTGAGCTTTCAGTCTCATATAAACTATGAAAGTGTACATTTTATAAAAAAAGCAAAGACGTTATTATAGTTGTCAGGCCCTGATTTCAGTGTTTTTCATAAATTCAAAGAACTTATATTTGCTTCATTGGTAACTAGTCGCTAGCTAGCTAGCTAGTTTTTATATTGTTGTCAGATAAAAACTTGTATCTCTAAAATAGTAACTTTACAGGAAAAGAAAAAACTTGTAGCGAAGTTCATGTAACAATATTTTTTCCCCAGTGATTTTAGGCCGATTCATTTGGTCCATTTATCGTAAAATTTTAACACAATGCGAAGGGTAACTGGAGTATTAAATTGTGAAAAAAGTGAAAAATAAAGTGAAAAATGACAAATGGAGGTACAAGGCTTTTTGCATGACGATGATATAAGTATCGCGATGTTGGACAAAAATGGACAACATAAACATGTAACACAAAGAAATGCTCTAGTTATTGAACTCATCATTGATCAGACTTTGGTCATGGTTAAATCAAAGTCAAGCAGGGTGTATGTAGGCTGTTTCTGTAGGTTTGTGTGTTTGTTGCAGGGTTTGTCTGTATCCACGTACTAAGGATGTGTGTGTTTTCTGTAGGGTCTCTCTGTAGCGGCAAGTGTGTCCCAGACTCAGGGTGTGTATTTGAGGCAGCAGCTCCGTAACGTTATCGCCCAATACATGAGCCGCTTCCTCTCAGCCACGCCCACCTCTGGATCAGTGGCCAATCATCCTGTGTTGTTGGCTGGTTGTGAAGCCACGCCCACTCCCCGAGGGGCAGTGTTAAGGAGGACAATTTTACAGGTGCTCAGGTAGTACACATTACTAATTTACAAATCACAGTGTCCTACAAATGTGTTCTATCTTTAAAGCGGCTTGTGCAAATGCATTTTAGTATATTATGCGATACTCTCTAGAAAACATTTGACTGGAAAGAATTCTTCAGCAGGATAACAACCCCAAGCACACTGCTGAGTCTTGTGTCTGTCTTTCTGTCTATCTCACAAACTCAGTACTTGGAGTGATATCACATATGATTATGCAAAGCCTGTTCCTATACCTGTCACTCTTATGTCTGTCTGGTTTCTGTCTGGTGATTCTGTAGGGATAATTTCCTCCAGTTTAAAGGCCATGCCCCTCCTCCTCGACTGGCCGCAGTGCTGTCCTTCCTGTTGGAGCTGCTGAGGCGAAATAATGACACTGATCCTGACCTACTCACCATAACACTGCCACCTGCACTGCGTTGTCTGATGCTCGTCAACGAACCCCAAGGTGGGAATACCCAGTGAAATTTTAGCTGACTGTTAATTTCCATATAAATAATTGGGATTAATAGTTTGAACTCTTTGTATGCAGCTATTAAAGTACAGTCAGCAAAACTGGTTGATTGTCTCTCTTACTGCCTTACCAACATTACCATCTTGCTGTATTTTGACCTGTGATGTGTCTCAATTAAAGCGTTTTCTGCTTTCTTTTATTTACATGCAATCCAAGTGATGAAAACGCACCCATTTAACATTGTGTTTGTTGTGACGTAAACATATGATTATGAAACTGTGTATAATACTTGGTCAGCACAATAATTTGGTCAGCTCAAATAATTGTGAACAGCTCCAACAGTATCAATCAGGTGATTGTCATAATTAGGACTAGCCTATATCTGGCACGTGAACACCAGTGAGGGGGATAATTTACAGAATACACATTTAAATATGGCCAGGGATACATTTGTGTCTTTCTCTACTTTGCCAGAGGCACTGCAGTCTGTGAATGGTTTAAAACACTTGCTCAGATGACATGTTTTGTTGTTTTTTGTTAAAAATATGTTTACACATCCTTACAGAGAACATATTACTGCACATTTTAATACATAGTTCTTGTTTATTTGCTGAATTTAACATATTAGGGGAAAGATAAACATAAAATGTGGCCTTAAATTTCTTTCCAGTATGTTAAATATATAGAAATTGTGCAGAAATGCCATATTTAAGCTTGTTCCTTGTAAATTTTCACTTCATTATAATGTTTGACTGGGTGTCATATGACTGTACATAGATCATATAACTGATCAAACAGCAGTGTTGTGTGTAAACACTAAACTGTAGCATCACTGTGTGGTTGTTACAGTGAAGAGGCTGAGTGCGGACTGTTTGCAGCTGATTGTGGAGAGATGTTTGTCTGCAGCGAGAGATCAGCCGTGTGAGCAGATCATCACAGTTCTCCGGTAACATACTCACTAACATGCTGCACCACTTATTCATACTGTCCTATGATTAGTTTTTACTGAAATACTCACAGAATATTTGTTATTCTGTTTTTCTGTTTCGTGCACTCCCTGGTTTGATTACATCTGAGTGGGCTGTGTTTTTGTGTCTGTGTGTTGTGTAGAACGTTTGTGGAGGAGAACGAAGGTGTGTATGACCTGCAGGTGTACAGTGTACTGGAGACAGTAGCCATCCTCAGTCCGTCCACTGTGTCCAGTCTGATTCCTCTTCTGTCTCTGAGTCTGCGAAACACAGAGCAGAAGAGAGGACTGGGGAGGAACATTTCTCTCAGGTAATCCTGCTGCTACTAATGATTATTACTATTATTTATTGCTAGAGTATCTTTCGCACAAATAAGAATTCAGTGCTTTACAGTCAGAAGTTAAAAACAAAACTAGAAACATAGGATATGTAACAAAAAATACAGTTGTAAAAAACTGTTTTAAAATCACCATAATCACTTTAACCATATAGCAAGCCTCTCTCTCTCATTCTCTTTCTCTGTCAGGAATGCCTATAAGTCTCTTTTGGGCCTGCTGGGAGAAGCTGGTCAGGCTGAGTTGGTCAGTCTGGAAGAAGACTGAACACTCTAACATCAGCTCTATCGATCCTGTATGTAAATACTGTACATGTGTTCATTGTGATTTTCATGTTCTGTGTCTATTTCTATCTTGCTAAATAAAATATGGAATTGAACATGGTTGCATTACTGGAAGTGTACAGCACTCATCACTGACTACTTTTGGAGAAATATTTCACTGCAGTTCAATTTAAACCCAAATTTAATACATAATACACAGCTAATCTATGTGCATTGATTAGTTTAATCAGGTGTTGTTTTGAATTAATGGAATAATATGGGGGGAAAAAATAAACCCAAATATAGACAATCAGTCAAGACATGTCACATAGCTTAAAACAATAGTAGAAGCTATTTGAATCCTGAATTTTATTTGTACTTTTGTTCGTTTTTACAGATAACAGTTAGTCACACAGGCATGCAGCTTGGAAGTGCTAATACCCCATCCATTCGCTTCCATTACTTGTTAGCTATGTAGCAAACATGTCATGGTAGCCTCGTAGCTCCAGAGCAAGGGGTGAGGGTAATGGGGGTTGGGGCAATTAGAACATCCCAAGGGTCCTGAAGAGACAGGGGATTAAAGTGGGTTATGATTTACTGGAGCTGTTAATAGTACAGAGGCTTGTGCTGTAGTAACTGTGGTTGTCAAATGGAATTGATGCAACTGAATGGAGAAAACAAAATCAAATGTCCTACTGCAAACTTTGTGTTTAACATACCCTGGTTATGTGTTAAGATGTCCTGTTTTTTCGATCATTGAAATGAAAAAAAAACCCTGAAAGTTATGGTGATTAAATCGGAATATCTCCATTATTCCACCACTACATTACATATGGTACATTTATATGCATGTTACTCAAGAGTATGTAAGAGTATGAAAGGGGCTTGTGTATGAAATTTTTGGAAGCCCAGTATTCCTGCTGGGACCTACCCTTTTCCTACCCTTATCACCTGGGGAATATTGCCAAAGGCCTACACATTGTGTCTCTTTGTTGTGATGACTGTACTTAAAGACTTTGAATTTGTACTTTCCATATTGGTCCAAAAAAGAAAACTAATTTTTTTGAAAAAAAAAATCTGCTCAACAAGGAAGATACTGGTCAGCATGAAGCTGAGAGTTGAAGCTTAGCAAATAGCTGGTTTATGCTGCAGGTAGCATATAAGTAACAAACCAAAAGTGCATGGATGTGGTTTTTGTAAAGGTAACTGATTAAAGAACACAGAACAGCCATATGTATTGCACAATTGCATAACTGTTGAATTTATTGAAATAAGCTAGGAAAAGAAACATCAACCCATGGCTTTACTGTTTTTCAGTCCCAGGGCTACAAGCAATGGGCTGGTGTGGGACCGGACCATTTTAGTATTAAAACAGAAGTATTAAAACATTCCACATGGCAGTTTCGACATGTTCAGAATTATATATAGTGTGTTTGTATGCAGTAGCTCAGTTATGATCAGAAACATTCAGGTACACGGCAGTAGTCCTGAGTTTTAATACAAAACCCTCTGTCTGTAGACTCACACCGAACCAGAGATGAACAGCAGTTATGGAGAGTTTAACCATCTCTGGCATTTTCAGGGTTCCAGAAGATGCAAAAGCAACAGGAGAGACTAAATGTTAGAGTCGAGTATAGATGACGGTTCTGAGATGCACACACTGCAGACACAAGGTAAAATGACCTTGACCGTAGAGTCACACTGGACAGATTCATGCTCCTCTCCATTAAAGGAATATTTTGGGCAAACATCTGGTTTACCCCTTACCCCAAATGTAGCCCCTCAGCCAAGACAGGTTTGGTGTCTGAAGCTGCTTCTTTAGTTTTGTACTAGAGTTATGAGGCTAATGTAGCTAAATCTGTTCAATTCAGGCTTCAAGACAGCTGCTACTACTGTTTTTGGTATGCAGCATTTTTTTATAGATAACAGTGTCATACAGAGTCAGAAACTACATAAGCAGGTCTATATGTGATTACTAAAAAGGGCCATAACCTGGAAATGAATAAATTCACTTCTCCACTTCTTTGAAATGAGCTTAATGTTTTATGTAAACATTACTAAAGTTTCAAAAAGTGTACTGTTCACTCCGCAGTCCATACAGTCCATGTATGAAAACTGAACTGCAAAAGCGAAAAAGCATCCCGTTTTGAATTCTTTGTGGTCTGATGTCACAAAAACGAAAACGTACATCCGCCTATTCAGGCTACAGCAGTTTAACTCCACCCATTCACACTGAAGTTACAAGAAGCGTTTCATTCTCAACTGCTTTTGGAACAAGGCACAATACAGGACAGACAGTCAGAATAGATCTCATTTACATATATTAGTCCTAAATGCATAGTAACAAAAATAGCCTGTGTAGTTCTAGAAGATAAAGAAAAGTCAGGAAATTGTATTTACATTTTACATAAGCATCAAATGCACACCCACACAAAACAAATGCAGGATATGGATCCTTTAACAACTCCGTGTAGTTTGAATTAAGTGCTGTGATTTATTACTGCAGTTTACACAATGCTAATTAATGGGCTATATGCTTCTATTAGCTGTTAACCACATTAGCTCCAGTACAAAACTAAAGAAGCAAGCTTTACACGCCAAACGTGTCTTGGCTGATCACCTACATCTGTGGTAAGAACATTTGCTGGCACTTGACTTGGCAGTCTTTTGATGTTAATTTGGAGTTTTGCAGCAACTCCAGTTTGTACTGAATCCATCTTTGGAACAGATGACAAATCCTTACACTCCCAAAAATTATATCTGGTGTCAAGCAGAGGAGGATGGGTTCCCCTTTTGAGTCTCGGTTCCTCTCAAGGTTGCTTCTTCTTGCTCTTAGGGAGTTTTCCTTGCCACTGTTGCCATTGGTTTGCTCATGGGGCTTGAATCCAGATTTTTATGTAAAGCTGCTTTGTGACAACGACTGTTGTAAAAGCGCTATATAAATAAACTTTGACTCGACTTAATAATTACTGAAAGATATTTTTACGTCATCTCTATTTAAAAAGATTTTGTGTCATAACATAAGACTTGAGTTTTGTAATATGAATTTGGAATGAAGTTGAATTAATTGTGTCTATTTTTGAGCTGATGTCATATTTTGGCCAAAATAACACAATATAACTCTGACAAAAGCTGTCTAATTAGATGGTCTTTGTTTAATATGATACCTCACTGTTTACATAAAATGAACAAAAAGTGTTCTTTTTTAAATAATAATTCAGCCCAAAAAACAAACTTACCCCATTTTCCACTTACCCAGCTGTAGTAGATCAGGACATGTTTAGAGTCCAAATTTTGCTTCTGTAGTTTAGAACTGGAGCTACAAGGCTAGCATTGCTAACAAACACTACAACTCAATAACAGTTAATCAATAATCACCCAAATAGCCCAAACTGTTTCTGTAAAAAATCACTAAAGCTTCTCTCTCTCTGCTCAAACCACATCCAAGTCTTCATTATTGTTGCACAGACTTGTTGATGTAGTTGCTGTGAGAGACTTACTGCGAGCTGTAAAAATGAAGAAAACTTATACTTCTAAAACTTCTATGTACAGCCATTTCAAAAACACCAGGTCTGTAAACACAAAGCAGTGCTGATTTTTGGATCAGATTCCTCTATGTTTATGATCTTCATTGTCACAAATACTGATTCTAAGTCACACGAATATTTCTGAGGTGGTTTGTGAATACAGACCCTGATGTCTAAAGTGGCTGTGCTTAATCTTAATCTTAATCTGAACACAGTTTGAGTAGGCAGAAAGATGTATGGTAATATATTTTGCAGAAGCAGTTAGGGGTATTTGGGTGACTATTGTGTTCTAGTGTGTGTTAGCAATGTTAGCCTCACTGCTTCAGCTCTAAACTAAAGAAGTAAAATTTGGACTCCAGACATGTCTTAACTGATCGACTACATCTAGGGTAAGTGGAAAATTGTATAAATGTTTTGCCAAACTATTCCTTTAAATGGACACAAAGGTTTGTTAAATAATGACAGACTACATGCTGTTTTTTATCACATCTGTGTGCCCTCAGGTTCCCTCCATTAACAATCTATCAGTACCAACACTTCAGACCAGTTACACAGTTAATCTCCCAATCTGTTCAGTTTGCGCATCATGTTTTAAACTGGACCAAGTGCAACTCCAAAAGTTCATAGGAGTCTATTCTTGGTCCATGTGAAGATGTTTATTTGCATTCGTGTTGTGTGTGTTTTGTATGTGTGTAGTGTGAGTCTGAAGCACATTAGAGTGTTCCTATACGGTGGTGGGGCATCTGTAGAGTCTGCAGGTTGGGGCAGGTGAAATACGGGGCAGGTAAAAAGCATGTCGCTATTCCGTTAGAGGCGAAAGGAAGAGTCGGCCCATAAAACACTTCCTCTTTTCCTTTAGTGCTCACATCCAGCACCTGTCAATCACACAAACACATCAGTTACCCCTTTATCATATTATTTATCCCTTAACTGCATTATTTACTCTACAAGTACATTAATTACCCTCATTTTTTACTCCTATACTGCATTAATTAGACCTTAAGTGCATTAATTAAACCTTTATCGCATTATTTACTCCATAAGTGCATTAACTACACCTTTACTAAATGATTGACATTATTAGTTAACTATTTACATCAAACCGTGTTATTTATTCCATAAGCACACTAACTACACCTTTACTACTGTATTTACTCCATAAGTCCACTAAACATATTTTTACTAAATGATGTTTACTGTAAGTGCACTAATTACCCAAAACCACATTATTTATTCCATAAGTGCAATTTAATACATCAATAAATGCACTTGTTATACTTTTACCACATTATTCACCCGTTAAGAGTATAATGTACGACTTGATCACATTATTCACTTCATTAGTTAACCTGTAAGTGCACTACTTACATATTTACTATATTATTTACTTCATACATGCATTAATTAAGCCTTTACCATACCATTTACTCCATAAGTACATTAATTACATATTTACTACATTGTTTACTCCTAAGTGTACTTACTAGGTTACTTTTCATGCTATTTACTCCATATATACCTTTATTACCCCTTTACAATATTTACTCCATACTTGTATTAATTACAACATTACCATGCTATTTACTTCATAAACTATACTCTCATCATATTATATATTGCATAAGTGCACTAATTATACCTTTACCACATTATTTACTCCAAATGTGCATTTATTTACCCATTTACCTCATTATTTCATCAGTGCATTAATTACCCCTTTATTATGTTATTTTAAGCATAAGTGCATTCACTGATCTTTACATCTGGGGTGAATTCAACTCATGAAGGTTTTGGTTATTAGCTAAGGAGTTGAATCAGATGTGTCTAATGAGGCAGAACATTGAACCCTGCAGTGCTTTGGCCCAGGAGAAACCCAGTTTGACACCCTGCTGTGGAGTTATTCGTTTTTTTCACTGCATAACAACTAATAAATTCAAGTACATAGTTACATGATGACTTTTTTGTTGTCAGGAAAAATAAATAAATAAAAAAGGTTAAGGATGTTTTTTCTTTCTGACCTGAAAGTGCTAAATAATTCATATAAAATTACTGACCTGAATGCAGGCCAAGGGTTCATTAGTCCAAATTGAATATCCACCAACCACATATATCCTATCGTCATGGACGGCCACACCAGCCTCATTTTGACCTGTGTATGTATAACCAGAGAGGTTAAGCAGTTTTTCCCCGAAATAAATACACATCAACACATTATTATACACTCACACACACAATAGCCATTTTAATTTCAGCTTCAATTCAAAGATATTTTTTAATAGTTGTGCTGAAGTTAACTTTATCTTAAAAAGGTTCACTACCATGCAATCATATATAACAATGTCACAATATGAGGTACTGGCCAAGTTCATCTATAGTCACACAGCTGGACTCGGGGCTGTCGCCAGGACAGAATGAATTAAGGGGGCATATTCTGACAAGGCTGGTGATCATTTGAGTGAAACATCCTACTGTTTCAAATAGTGAGGGTGATTCATGACAAAATCAATTAACAAGATATGTTTTGTTTACCAGCCAGATTTAGAAAGCTAATTTAGTAACATACTTTGAATTTCTGATGAGTTTAACTGTGTTTAAATCCAGTCTTTCCTCTTGTCTCCGATTTAGAAAACAAGTAAAATTTGGTGATTAGAGTATGTGATGTTTAAATTCCCCACAGACTGCTGCGGCATATTGTTGTCAGCTAGGTTCTGATTAGATAATCATTGTTTAGGAAAAGGGCCTAGTTTCTTAAGCTGAACTGATAAAATACTTCGCACATGTGAGCGGTCAGATCAAGTGGTCTGCCCACCAAACAGTTTTATCTAACCAACAAAAAGGATGGATGTATACCAATATACTATAGTTACCCGACCTCTGACAAAAGTGCAAAAATAGCGCAAAAATAATCTAGCTATTTGTAACGGCACAAGTAAATTGAAATGTTGAAAAATCAAAAAAGTTTAAAATTTAGTGGTATCACCCCTTTTTGCACACTCGCAGCATTGGGCCTGGCTCGGCCCGATGGGTGTGTGTGTGTTGTGTGTGCTAAACAGTCAGGAGGCTGCAGCCGCAGTGTGCGGTGTGTGGTGAACGTGTGCTGACCGGTCAGTAAGCTGAAGGTGCAGCGTGTCCACTGGTCCAGGTCTATACTATAGGAATCTATATGCCGAACGAGGATGCGGTCATTATTGAAGTCCAGGTCATTTCCTCCCAGCACATACAGCTGCCTCTGCACCGCAGCCATCACATGATACACTCTCCGCTGCAGCATGGGGCTGCGCACCAACCACTGATTCTTTCACACACAGAGAGAGAACTCTATTTAAGCAATAGAACGCAAGATTGATTGTTTTATTCACCATAATATTATAACAGTTCCAACGGCACAATCTGGATTGGTAGAGGAGCAATGTTATTAGTGATAACAACACATTTTTTCCACAATAATGTTATAATTCAGCTGATCAGCGGTTGCTGTGTAATGACTCCCTTTAGGCTACAGCTGACCATTACAAAGCTTCTACTTTAATACATATAAAAACAGAAAATGGATACTTTAAGACAACATCTGACCTGCAGGCTGTTTTGATCAGATCTACAGAGCTAATTCTGAACCTGTCGCTACCCCTAAGTAAGCTTTCCGATCAGCAGCTGCGATGATGGAACATCTAAACAAACTAGAATTATCTGAAATATAATTGACTGAACAATATGGGCTGTGAAATGCTGCTCCTTTTTTGCTGTAAGGAAAGTCAACATTAAAGCACATTTTATACAAGGCTTCTTTGCTTGACTTTTTTCTTTATCTTGCATAGAAGCCATAGAACACTTGAGGTGTTTGCTACTGTGTTGATAGAGCTAACAGTTGTATAATATGCACTACAGTGGAAAAGTAGCCTTTTACATGTATATCAAAGCTGTTTTATTTGCAAAAGTTTAAAAATGTATAATTTTTATATATTTTTAAAAATTAAATAAATTAAAAATATGTACTCCACATAAAAATGCAGTACTGAACAAGCTCAGGCAGAAGTCATTCAGTCAAGTATCAATTATCTGCATAACGAATAATGAATAGGTAAAGTGTCTGCAAATACCGAACAGCTTACATAAAACATAGAATAACATGCAAAACAATATGTAGTATATTTTAGCAATCGAGCAGCAACAGACTCATCTGGGGGAAGAAATTAAATGAAAGAGGCAAGGAATGAAACAACAATGCTAAACGACAGGGGTGTAAAAATACATCGACCTGAAGATGATGATCCAACTACTTGCATTTTAGCATGTTAAAGCTGATTGCAGATTAGAATAACATTTACTAAAGTATGCGCTAATTTTTGCCCAAAATCTAATTCTCTGCCTATTTTCATACACAAAATGCAAAAAAGCTTGCTGTACTGTTTTTATTGTCTTTTATTGTGCGAATCGTTCATCTAGTATTTTGTTCTAGTATTTAGTACATATTTGAAATCTAATCTAATGAATCCATCCACCATCAATCATGGTGAAATTTGAGATTTCTTGATGCACCAAATAATTTCCTAAAGAATCATAATCAAATCAACTTGCAAGGTCAGAGATTTATAAAGAACAAACATGAGACTGGACGTCCCTGAGTGTTAATACTGTTTCCTCATATTGACATGAGCGCCCACTGTACTAGTGCGTCCTGCACTCAACAGAGGCCAATCTGTATTCCTGCGGTGTGTGAGCACTGTAACTGAAACTGTGTGTGTGTGTGTGAATAAAAGAGAGAGAGACAGAGAGAGAGTGCGTGAGCGTGACCATCTGTTGGGGGCTGTGTGGGGGGCTGGTGTTACTGGCAGGTGAATGTGGAGCTACTGTGAATACCAATGAGTTTATCCTTCTCTTTCTCTGCTTTCCTCTCTCTCTCTGGCTCTTGTTCTTTCTATCTCATTATATCTCTATCTCTCCATAGTTCTCTGTCTTCATTTCTTTTTCTTTCTTTTTTCTATCTCTACTCTGTTCTCTCTCTCTCTGTCTTTCTTTCTCTTTCCATTTCTTTCTCTCTCCATAGTCTACCTCTATGCCCCTTATCTCGCTCTCACTTTTCTGTCTCCCTCTCTCTTTCTGTATTTAATCCTCTCTCTCTCTCTCTCTCTCCGAATAAAAAAACTTTGTATTTACAGTTTTTGATAGTATTTTTTAAAATGTAGCACTACTTGTTTTTTTTCTCTGATCAGATGTCTGAAAAAAAGAAAAATGGTGACATGTTGTTCATCGAGAAAATTTTGTAAAGTATCGCAATATTTTTGCCGTATCACCTGTATCTCCATCCCTTTTTCTTTTTGCTTTCTTTCTGTCCCTGCCTGTCTCTCTCTTTACCCCTCCCTCTCCTTTTCACTCTGACTCTTGTTCTTTTTCTCTATCTCTCCATAGCTTCTGTTTTCTATCTCTACTCCTCTCTCTGAAAATGTGGACAAAATTACAGTTAAAAGATCAGGTTTCAAGACTGCTTCCAATACTGTTTGTAGCGATGTGACATACTTTTGTCCATTTTATAGATACCTGTATCTCACAATCCACATAAGCAACTACAGTGGTGCTTGATAGTCTGTGAACCATTTCGAATTTTCTATATTTCTGCATAAATTTGACCTAAAACTTCCCTAATCGTCCTAATAGTAGATAAAGAGAACCGAATTAAACGAATGACACAAAAACAAAAGACTTGGTCAATTTATTTATTGAGGAAAATGATCCAATAACCACAATTCCACAAACGTGTGTTGTGGAGATCAGACTGTGTTAGATCCCTATTCTTCAAATAAAAAGTGGTTACTCACACCTGATTGGCATCCCATTGATTGAAAACACCTGACTCTAATTTCACCTTCAAATTATCTGCTAATCCTAAAGGTTCACATACGCAATATTGGATCATTTTTCTCAATAAATAAATGACCAAGTCTAATATTTTTGTCTCATTTGTTTAATTTGGACTTGTGTAAATATCTGATGAAGTTTTAGGTCAAGTTTATGCAGAAATATAAAAAATTCTCAAGGGTATACAAGCTTTCAAGCACCATGAAATTACTTAAAAAATCCAACACGGTATGAGTTAAGTGTGTGAAGATTTAGGCATGCAGTTTAGCATCATGCTAATTTTTACAATATATAAGCTTCCATTACTAGTTAGCTACGTTTGCCTCACAGTTCCAGTGCCAAACTAAAGAAGGAAATTTCAGACACCAAACATGTCTTGGATGACTGACTAAATTTAAGATGGTGAAAATTTAGTGGTAAAACTGTCATGGGACAGCTTTTTTTCACACAAACAAAGCACACACACACACACACACACACACACACACACACACACACACACACATATATACAATTTACCACAAATTATGAAAAGGATCACAGACAGACATTCTCACTGTTTACCTGTTCTGGGTCGTACACCATCAGTCTGTTCTGGTACTGCGCTGTGTTTGTGACGCCACCTAGACAGAAGACAGAAAACTGTTCTTATCACAGCCAGGATAAACAACTTACCAATCAATTAATCAATCACAAACACCTACAGCCACACAGATTTTAAGAAAGATCAGATGTTATTTCGCACATTACAATTACGTTTCAAGTCAAAGTCAAGACAGATTTTATATAGCGCTTTTTACAACAGCCATTGTCACAAAGCAGCTTTACAGAAAGATCCGGGTTCAAGCCTCCATGAGCAAGCCGATGGCGACAGTGGCAAGGAAAAACTCCCTAAGAGCAAGAGCAAGAAACCTTGAAAGGAACCAAGACTGAAAAGGGGAATCCATCCTCCTCTGGTCGACACCAGATAGCCAAAAATAACATAAGAGCAATATGAGCAGAGAATAAGGTTTTTTCTTTAATATTATCATTAATATATAGCAAATATTTAAATTGAGAAAAAGGGGGGAAACAGCCTGTCATTGGACAAAAGTATTTAGATTAAGCAAAAATAACTGATGACTACCGTTAGAGACCTATCAGAGTAACAATGAGCAACAGATCTATGAAAATCAGTCACTGTTACCAGTGAAAACCAGTAGCTAACATTAGAAGTGTATCACCGATCACATTTCTTTGAGGAAATTTGCAAGCTAAGAACCAAACATGGTGAAGCATTATTTAGCCTTTTTTCTTAGCATTATAAAATCATTCCTATTTTCCTGTGCTCTTCATAAAACCCGAAGAACGAGTACGTTTTAAGCATTTTCTTAACGTCTAAGCCTGTTATCTTTTGTTCATTATATCTGTTATATTTTTAGTGTTACATAAGTAACACACTTTGGATAACCTTTCTGTAATGTAAGCGATATACTTGTATGTGCTACTCAAGTGACTCAAATTTAAGTTTAATAAAGCATTTATACATTACAATATCTTTGATTTGAAGGTAAACTTAAAACGCCCAGTTTGCATACACAATGCGATATTATTCAACATTTCTTCTGAAATAAAGGGTATTAATAGGTTATTTGTTCCCCTTTTGCTGCAGTGACAGCCTCTACTCTTCTGGGAAAGCTTTACACTAGGTGTAGGAACATTGCTGTGAGGATTTGATTGCATTTAGCCACAACAGCATCAGTAGGATACTAGTTACTAATGTTGGATGATTACTTATGGATCACAAACACCACTCCTGCTCATCCCAAAGGTATCGGATAGAACTCCATCTCTCCAGAGAATGCAGTTCCACTGCTCCACAGCCCAAATGCTGGGGGGCTTTATACCCCTCTAGACGACGCCTGACATTAAGCACGGTGAGCTTAGGCTCATAGGCTCATGTGCAGCTGTTCCAGCATCCCATTCAATTGTCAACGATTTTCTATGGAGATTAAACAAGCTAAGTGTGCATAATTGAACACCTGTGTCAGTAATGGGTGTAGCTTAAAGTGTATATACCCGCACACTGCGTACCTGATATCCACAGCAGGTCGTCTGCCACACACCCAGCGTGGCAGGAGAGTGACCGGTCAAATGACTGGACGTAGCTCCATTTGTTCCTGCGGGGGCAGTAGCGTTCCACACTGGGCAGCACCTGCCTCAGCTCGTTCCTGCCCCCAACTGCGTAAAGGAACTGCCCCAGGGCGGCTAGCACAAAGTGCTCACGGCATGCCTTCATAGGCGCCACGTCTGTCCAGCGGTTTGCTCGTGGGTCATAACGGCACACACTCCGCACAGCACATGTGCGGCCGTTGACGTGCTCCACCTCGCCACCCGCCACAAAGAGGAAGTTACCCATCACCGCCACACAGTGGTGGCTCCGCCCTGCCGGCATTGGCGCCAGCTCACTCCAGTTGGCTCCGCCCCCCACCTGGCGCAGATGTTCTTGAGGGGCGGGGTTAAAAAAGCGCAACTCTCTGACACGGCTGACCTCACGTTTGCGCCCACCGGTGATGTAGAGTGTGAGGGACCGGTAGCGGGGGGTGGTCCTTTGAGTCTGCCGCAGCGGCTGGGCAAATGGGCAGCGGTGGTAGTCCAGTGCCTCCTCCAGCAGAGCGGCAGCGGTGGGGCAGGAGCGCAGCAGGGGCAGGCTACAGGACACACGCTGCAGGGTGGACAAATCCATCAGCCCAAAACGAACGTGCTGCAAAAGCTCCTCAGAATGATGAAGCCTACAGCCATGCTCCAACCAACGCACCAACAACTGCAGAGTCACAAAGAGAGAGAGAGAGAATGAAATAACACGAAAAAGAGAAAATAGTAATACTCCTAATGATAACAACAATAATGATAATTATAATAAAAATAGCATGATATCATGATGATCTCATAAGATATTGCATAATATTATTATAATTATAGCCTAACTAGCTATGAGGACACTGAGGTCCAGACCTTGGTAGTTTCAGAAGGGTTTTTCATCTCCATTCATGAGATTTAATGTGGAAACAGCGCTGTTCTGATAATTCAGTACACAGGCCTACCCAATTAAATGGGGAAAGAAGATAGTGACATTTGATTTGTTTTCTGTGAGTGCTGTCACTGTATCATGGCCATTCAAATCATTACGCTCTAAACCATGCCCCCCCTTATTTTCTCATCACTGCTATCCACCACTGTCTCAAGCCTGCGCCTGTCATGTCATAACTAGCATGAGGACAAAGAGGTTGAATGTTTTGAAAGAGTTATGATATTCAATGTGGAAACAGTGGCAAGAACAAACAATCAGTAGTGACTAGTTCTCAGCTGTGGTTCGTCCATAGACTAACTGCTTTGTTTACCCCTGTATGAGACACTATGCTGATGCCGCCCAGAGCAATTTTGACTTTTGAGATGTAGGTAACATTACAGGTATGCAGCACACACACAGCATAGGCTAACATAGCTATGATAAAAAATACTTGTAAAAGCACCATCCCATTACTTGTTTTTAATTTGGACGAATCATAAAGTTGCTAGGTAAATAAGCACGCTTTAGCCTATTTCAGTAGCTGAATAGTTTAGGCTACAGGCTTTGTAGTTGGCTATATTAGTTTGGTAGATACAGTCTTTTATAAAGTATCTTTAATAATAAATTAATAAATGCTTTTTCAGTAATCTGTGAGAACAGAGAAGAGAACAAAAAGAGATTTTAGCACGTATTTTCAGCTGTAAATAAATGGGTAAATAGTTGATTAATTAAATAAAATTAAACAGGGAGTTTATGGAACAGTAACAGCGGTTTATGGAAGACTGGAACGATGGGAAATAAATAAAAGGAAAAGCTACATAACAACTATGGACAGGTGAAAACCGTACAAGACCTGGCAGGCCACAAAAACTGTCCCCATTAGATACACAGTGCTTAAAGCTTTCACCTTTGAGAGAGAGGGGAAAATCAATCTCCACTTTTGCTTCAGATCTGAGAAAATCCACAGGTGTTTCTGTCCATCCTTCCACTGTGAGAAAACTCAACAATATTGGGTCTGAAAGGAGGTGTAGCTGTCAATAAGCTGTGATTGGAACTATCCAAAGGTATTGGCACTTATTGAAGCTGGTGGTCAGCTGGGAGCTACTAAGCATCAACAGCAAGGAAGCCACTTTATACTTCTACTTTAATAAATGCATACAATGAACAAAAAAAGACAAATTATTCATCACATTATTCACATGGTGATTAATCATCACCTAAAATTTTATGATCATGACAGGCTTACTGAATAAAATATACATTATATTTCTATACACTTGATAAGTTTTAAAATCTTGGAAAAAAATAAAACATGAAATATAAAATGTGCCATAACTTTTGCACAATGTTTTTTATATATATATATATATATATATAAAACATTGTGCAAAAGTTATGGCACATTTTATATTTCATGTTTTATTTTTTTCCAAGATTTTAAAACTTATCAAGTGTATAGAAATTGTGCAAAAAGGTTTGCTAAGGAAGTGACTGGGTTGTAACTTGTAACTTGTAATATTGAATTAACTGAACTTCAAATAATAAGTTAACAAATGTAAAAAACACACATTATTCTACAGTGAACTCAAAATATCAAGTTAACTCAGCTACTTTTTTAAGTTTAAAAGCTGCATATTGTTTTACAGTGTAGAGGACGAGTTAAATTGTTTGAACTTAGAAAATCAACACAACACAATTAGACCAGCGGTGTTTAAATGTTTTCATACAACTGTATATGAAGGCCATGCACGCACACACACACTGGCAGCAGAGGGATCTTGAACAAAGGGGACTTAATTGAACCTGACAGCAATCTGGACTCATTTATCTACAGAGAGATGTGAGTGGGGGTAAGACGGCCACAGTTTGGCAACACCCAGCAGCAGCTTTTAACACAATCAACTGAGGCAGGCAATTACAGCACAGTAATGGAGAATGTTTGGCTAGTAGTGAAGCACAGACACATAAAACCCAACACAGTCTCTAGTAGGGCTGGCCACTGGCCAAAATACAACTTCACCAGCAAAAGCCTTTAGCTAGAACAGTTATTGTTATTATATGGAAAATGCATGCTAATATTGTTAATATATGGAAACTGGCTGCACATACACATGGGCTGATTTCGGTACAAGTCTCCAATAACTGTGAGGCTGTTTAGTGGTCCTGGTTTGGGTGACATTAAAACCAGGAAGCTCTTTAAACCTGTTTATTGTGAGATCTGGTGGTAGTGGAGAAGGGGAACACCTTGGGCACTCCTGGGCGGAGTTGTTAGGAGTTAAGTTCATTCTAGCCTGCGTCCCTTTAGGCTGCAGACCGAGAGCCGCATTCTGAAAGGTGGAAGTGACAAGTTTCAGTGGTCTTGTTGCTCTGCACCAGCTAAACGGGGAACCTGCCGAGCCACTTCCTGGGTGGTTCTCCTTGTGTTCAGATGGGCCTGTAGTTCTAAAGGTTTTTAAATCATTTGCTCCACTCTCTGTAGCTTGGCTAAGACTAAGCTCAAATTGGCTTTTTGAGTCATTGAGTCACTCTCATTGCTGATTTCGATGATAAAAGCAGAACTCTAGCCAAACAAAATAACTCAATAACTAACTTAGACAAACTAAAACAATGGTGATTAATAAAATGGTAATTCTAATTTGTTACAGCTTTGCTGTCTAGAAACATGACTCACAAAAGCTGTATTTGAATGAGAGAATAACAATCGCGGATTCTATCAGGGCAACATACAGCGTATGAACAACTGGGCTTCAGCCTGAATATTAATACACTGCTGCTACCTACTGGATATTTTCTGAACTGCAGCCAAAAATATACTTAACATTTTGGTATATTATGAAACTTATTTGTTTATTTTTTGTTTTAAGGGTGATTTGGGCTATGAGTGTTCAGGCACTCGCTCTGGAACAGTAATGAGTTTGCAAAGCCTGTAAAATGCTATTGGGGCTGGCCCTACATGTCAGACTGTAATGTGTCATGCTTTAATATGTGCTGTGGATCTATCTTCCCCTTATTCTTTTCCTTATCCTTTATCCATTCTGAATCAACCCACACCTTTCAAGTCCTTTTGTCTTTTTTACACAGAGCGGGAAAAGAGGGGAAGACAGAAAATGAGGAAAAAAGGCAATGTGAGAGAAAGAGGAAGAGAGATTGCGATGAGAAAGAAGTAAGAAAAAGAGAAAGACAGAGACGACAAGAGAGAAAGGGCACAAGGAAGGAAGAGGAAGAGAAAGAATGGACAAGGAAGACAATTAGAGACGGAAAGAGAGAGGAAGTGAAAGATGGCAAAGAAAAAAGAAACAGAGCGAGAGAGAGAGAGATCTAAAAAGGGGACAAGGAAAGAAGAGTAAGAGGACATGAAACAAATCAGAAGATGTAAAAAGAGATAAGGTGAAAGACAGAGAAATAGAGAGAGAGAGAGGGGTGTGATGCAGTGTGTGTTGACTGTGAAGGTCGTGATGGATCAGAGAACGTCCTTAGAGCAGAATAAATTACACACACAGACGGAGCGAGAGCAGAATGGAAAAAAAAACAGAAAGAGGAAGAAAATGTGATTTCCAGAGCGTGCGTGTGTGATGAAGATTGACAGGTGGGGTATATCAGGGCAGGTCTGGTTCACACGTACACACACACACACATACACACAGCCGTCCGTTGGCTGAATTAACCCAGTGTGTGTGAAGTGTGCTGGAAGAGGCTGAGTGTAATCAAGCGGTGATGAGGCTGGAGCTGGCCAGCGGAGGGGTCAGAGCGAGGGGCCATCAGAGGAGGAGTGTTTTCATCAGTAGGGGGGAGGGCTGGAGGGTTAATCAGAGGGAAACTGGTGGAGGAGGTGTGATTAGGGAAAATGGACAGTCACACACATGCATACACACATGCACAACTACCACCAGGAAATATGCCAGGAAAATGCTACCTACAAGTATGCATAGTGCCAACAGTAAAGTTTAGTGGAGAAGGGATAAAGGTCTGGGGTTTCTCAGAGTTTGGGCCCCTTAGTTCCAGTGAAAGGTAATGTTAATGCTACAGCATATAAAACACTTTAGGCAATTATATGTATAACTTTGTGGCAACAGTTATACAGAGAAAGCCCCTTCCTGTTCCAGCATGACTGTGCCCCTGTGCACAAAGTGAAGTCCATAAAGATGTGGTTTGACAAATTTTGTGAGAAAGAACTCCAGTGGCCCACACAGAGCCCTGACCACAACCCAACTGAACACCTTTGGGATGAATTACAGTATCGATTGTGAGCCAGGCCTTCTTATCCAACATCAGTGCCTAACCTCACAAACGCTCTTTTGAACATGCCCACAGATGCGCTCCGAAATCTTGTGGAAAGCCTGTTATAGCTGCAAAAAGGGGGGCCAACTCCACACACACATACATACAGTTTTATATAGTATATAGTATATGAAGAGTTAGAAAACACAATTAAAGCCAAAACAACACTAGGAACGTCCACGTACACACACAAACTCCTACCTGCCATATCTCCTCCTCTGTGAGAGATGTGAGCTGGTCGCTCTTTAGCACCTCCCGCAGGAGGCGGAGTGGCAGCAGAAGGAGCTCCGCCTCCTCCAGTTCCGCTAGGTGCTGCACCAGGTAACCAATTACAGCCTCCTCCAGCACAGGCAGGTGGAACAGATCAGCCAATCGGTAGAGCTCCAGATAATTCACACTGCTCAACTCCTACACACACAAACATACACACACATCAGCCAACCAGTAGAGTTTCAGATAATTCTCACAAATATAGTCATGAAGAGTCAAACGTTTCAAATACACAGAGATCGATTTGCACAGTGACACAGCCACAGCCTTATATACGCCATAGTGTCAAAAGTTTGGACCCATCTGACTGAATGATTTTCACAATCTAATAGGCTTTTTGATCTAAAGGCTTATGATTAAATGCTTAAAATACACATAGTGAAGCTGAAATACACATGGTGACCCTATTCGGACATGATTAAATTTACATAGGGTTCTATGCAGGGCTAGATTTGGTTACCCCAAGACCCCAAGACACACCAAGTTATCTAACATTACATATAATGAGCAATGCTGAGTAGCTCAGGTTTCTTAGGGATGGTGCCTTAGAGGGCAGTACATTTTGCCAGAAACCACAAAATAGCCCAGAGTTTGAAAAGAAATGCAACTAACCCAATGCTAACTGACCACAGCAGAACTAAAAAAAGTGCTTTGATTTAAAATCTAAGACTGAAAAATTCAAAGTGTAAGACAACTGTAAAAAAAAAAATGAAATAATAATTTTAAATATTTAGAATATTTTAAAAACTTGACCACTGTGTCAGTGTTTTCACTCCCTCCTCGCCTGAGAAAATTAGACTGATTTACCTACTGTTTCTCACTGAACTCAGCAGTCTTCTGATAATTACAGTACACATCTCTGTGATGTTCCAAGACGTCAGCTCTCATTGGCAAAAAAAAAATATATATATTCTGATTGTTGCTACTCATTGTATTTAGTCTCTCAGGATGTATCCATATCAAACACTCCGAAAATCATGAAACAAGGGATACTTTGGAACATTCTCTCAATCATTTACTTAGTCTGGGTGGTAGAACTTCTCCATTCTCTCTACACTGTAGGAGCATTAGCAGGAGAAGACTTGCTTTGTTAAGCAACAAGTACTTTCAGCAGCCAACAAGTGCACAGCATGAAGCCATACTGCCATCTACTGGCAGCACTGTTCAAGCTTATTAAAAGACATTCACTTAAAATGGGCACTTATGGATAGAAGTGAAGTTCTTATAGAATCCATTACACAGCAGCAATAGATCAAATATAATATTAATAATGTTAAGTCATTATGTTGAGATTACCTTTTTTTAATAAACGAGGAGCATTTGTTCATTATACTGCACCAATATACTAGAATATGAAGAGAGAATGGCATATTCCACTGCTTGACAAGCAGCATAAATGCTTCAATCTTAAAGGCCTTTACTCAACTCTACTCTAACGCAACAAATCCCCCGGACTCCTGTTTCCACTCCACTGCAAACTACTCTGCTGGGCAGGTTCATGTTTATAATGCAGGTTCATGTTTATAATGCAGGTTCATGTTTATAATAAAGTAGGAACAGCGCCACCTTTCCGAAAACACACCTGCAGCAGTGCAGGCTTGTGCATAATTTTAAGCAAGCTGTGGGAGTTTTTGCCACTCTCATCATGAGCTCATGTAATCATCCGTTTACATAAAAACACACGGACACTCCGAGAAGCCGAATTAAGCAGAGGCTTTCTTATTAACTATATCACAACCGGATTCAGTGTAAATCTTCTGTGAATAAATGCATACTTTGTGTAAGCAGGGCTGAAATATTTTACCATAACTTTCTGACCAATACTGCGCTTGCGATTTACATGTTACTATTTTCTCAAAATTAAGCTCCAAGGCACCTCCATTTTTTCCAAGTTCACGTCCTGAACGCAGAGTTTAATATGCCAGACTGCGGGTTGACAAGCTCTGCGTTATAAGGTTTAATTACTCCACTTAAACTTGTTAAAATATTGAATAATGTAAGACAGAATTAAAATTACAGCTGTTGCAATTTGAAAATCACCTTGTTTCATATGATCAACTGTTCAGCTCTGTTTGTACCTGTATTAAATATTGTGAGCAGAGTGTAAGAAGCTCCAGAAGCTGCAGGTGACTCCCAGCAGATAAAACATCCTGAATAACCCCAGGATCTAACAGAATCTAGAGAGAGAGTGAGAGAGAGAGAGAGAGAGAGAGAGAGAAATATATAAAAAGAAAGAAAGAGAAAGAAGAGACACATTTACACTTTCAACAATTGGTTCATTCTTTCTCACCAGTAATCACACAAGTCTGCTAGAATGTGCACTGATATGCAATAGACATAAAAAATGAGTTTCTCCCTAACAGAAAGTTATTACATTAAATGGATATGAATATGCTGCATGATGCCTACGACACTTTTCAGACAAGGTTTTTGGCTCAAAGGTATTTCTTAAGAGCCATTCATGGTGGAGAGCTATATGCAGGGAGTTAGAAGGTAAAATAGTCCAAATAGAAAACAAATCTTCCATATTTACCACAATTTTATCATTAGCAATATTACATACAAAACTCAAAAGAAGTGTGCAGATTCACTGGTGGGTTTAGACAGCAAATAAAATGGCTATATTTGTCAGTAAGTTTCTCTGTGAACCATTTCACATCAAACCACCACAACTCTGTTTACATCTGTTTACATCTCAAACAACTGAAACTCAAAACAACTGAATTATGTAGAATTTTCCAAAACAAAACAAAACACATAGAATTCCCCATAAATAAATTTATGAGGTAGGGAGGAGCTGGGTACAACCTAATGTGGGGTAAAATGTAATGTGGCCTTTTTATGTAACTAAATATGTTTAAGTAGAACATGCTTTTGGTCATCTTCCCACACTCTCATATCAGATAGATATTTCTCAAGGGTCAGGGTTACCTGAAAGAAAGTTTTTGTACCATAAAAGTACATTTTTGTCATTTGATTTTAGCTTCGATTCTCAGTCTGGCTGAATTTTGCTGGGTGGCTCTAATTAGCAGATTTTGGGGCAGTTAGAGTCGACAGTTAGAAGAGACAATCTAGAGTTATTGTAGCCACAGTAACAGTAGCTTTATTATATAACAAGGAGCGATTTATAGGCTGTAAACACACTATTGTTTGTACTTCGAATTGTGTCGTGTGTGATTCACCAAACAATCTACAAAAATCAACTGGAATGTGTGAGATGCCTAGCCTTTTTAACATCTGCTAAGACTCTGTAGTATCCTTAAGGCTTAAGATGATCGCACTGTGTCAGTATTCTCCTCAGTATCATATATGTAAATTCACATTAGCGCGGTACTCATTCCACCCCGCATCATTAGTAAAACTAAACTAGACTGTTACACTTGATGCAGTGACTGTCAATCAAGTCAATCAAGAAGTGATCATTAATAAGCAAACCTGGGGCAGGTTTACTAAAATAGGCATTAATTACCAACACTCTACCAACACTTTACATTAACAGGGTGGCCAATTTAGCAACTTATATATTAAGAACTTCCATGTGGTCCAGCTGGTACTGAGGCATGAATGTAATATTTCCAAAGCGGTGTCTGATGGTCAGAGGCGATGGTCAGAGGCGTGAGTATACATATGTTTGCCACAATTGCGACAAATGACTTGAGAAATTTGATGAACCTGAAGTTAGCTTCCTATTCCAACTTCCTACTTCACCTTAAATACCACAGTAGCTACATTCAAAAGAAGCCAATTTCAGCACTGAAGAAATTAAGACATGAAACAACATTTAGCACAGTGTTTGCCAGGCCCACAGGGCTACCGTTAGAAAGCAAAACTGACCCAGTTTTATCTATATAATTGTTCAATTTAGTTTTTTTCCTATTTTGAACAGTAAAAATATTTCAGATTTACTATGGTTGTTAAAAATGGTTCTTATTAGTCAGTGAAGGGACATCCCAGAATAATAAACCCCTGTTAACCTACAAAAACAGGTTTACTTAAGCATCTAAAATGGTTTTCTCTGCAAAGATAAACTGAAAATTACTTTAAAATATACTGAAACCACCAAAAACTTTATTTATACTTCTAAATACATTTTTGGCCATACTACTAACTAGTAAATCACATTACTCGATGTGCTGAGTCAGGAGTGGATAGCTTTCACCAGGACCAGGTCCTTGAAGTGAACATCAGACCACCATATACAGGAAGACCAATGATCAGATTTTTGGAGCACTCCCAGACTCAAAAGCAGCTTTCACACTCAGCCAAAAGTACCATCCTCTCAGGGGAAACAGCCCTGGGTCCAAAAAAAAGATCAAGTGTGAAACAGTCCTAAAAAGCAGTTGTGCTGGGTCTTTAAGAAAAAGGTAGCAGCACTGCAAAACCTTTCAAAAAGGAAAAGCAAAAAACAAAGTACTACTGCACTCCCAGGGCTAAAAGCATCCCTATTTTATCAGCCCCTTTTTCACTGCATTTGCGTGAACTACTGATGGAAGATGAAGCCGATGTGTGTCAGAAGGAACCTAGATTTTTTTGGAGTATATCTTGGTTGGGTTTGGCCTAAATAACTCTGTGTGTCTCCAGAGGAAATATGATTAATCAAAGTTACAAACCTCCACGCCCTACATTGAGGACACACACACACACCAAACCTCAATCCTACTGAAATCTGAAACAACTGCGAAACTCATAACCTCCTCAAAATATCCTCAAACCTCAAAAACACTTCACAACCTCTAATCGTTTTAACCCTTACACCCCATCAGTTAGCATCTGAAGTAGCTAACAGGCTACATGCCTAAATAAACACATACTGTGTTGAGCTGTTGCATAATCTCGCTTTTGTGACATTTTTACATATGCTGAAGGAAACCGTTGCACAACATGAAAGAGCTTCACTGATGTCAAGGTCTGATATGACTGACTTAGAACTTACAACATCTGATTTGACAAGCTTAAATCTCTGGTTTAAGCTTCCATTTCTCATTATCTATATTTGCCTCTTAGCTCCAGTGCAAAGCTAAAGAAGCTATGGTACGGGTGTCCAAAGTCCAGCCCCAGGCCCAATACAGCCTGCGGACAGATTTTAATTGACCCCTGGTTTCTGTTTGAGTGTATTATAAGTGACTTGCCAGACAATATGTTGCAATTTTTCCTTTCACCTGATGGTGGCAGCAGTACCGCAAAATTACAGTGTAATGCACGACACTGTGATAATGAAATTAGCTAAAGTTTAAGAGCTTTTATTCTCTGATTAGACCTGCAGCTTAACTTACTGAATGACCTTTATTCAAGACTACAGCCATAAAGCACTAACTTAACACTGAGAACTGGCAAAATTTCAAAGAAATTTTAATATTTTTTCTTTAGAGAACCAAAGCAAATGTGAGTGCCTCGTATGTCAAAACACTGTAATGAATTCAAAATCATTAGACATTACAATAAATATTCAGGAGAAGGCAGAGAACCTAAAGCAACTGCGAGCTACTCGAGTCTAACAGCACCAAACTCTTAGCAGGGCAAATTCAGTAGTTCATTAAATATTAACTGTTTAAGGTCACACAAAAAATGGGCTATTCATGCTGTTTATTTTGCTCCTCATTTAATAAAGCGATTTCTGAATGCTGTCACTACATTATCTAACAAAACTGAAACGTTTTTTTTTGTCTAGTTTGTCTCACATTGTGCATCTTTTATAAAGTGATAGGAAACACAGTAGCACACGGAAAGTTCCAATTCTATGTGCTGATATTTTGAAAACTTTTGTGAATAATATGTCGGCCCTCAGGTATTTTGACCCAGTACAACCTGACCCTCTTTGAAAAAAGTTCAGACACCCCTAAGCTAGGGGTTGCGTCGACTAGTTGACAAGTCGACTGTCAACTACTAAATCCACTAGTGGGCAGCAGTCGACTTCTTAAGGACAGTGCTTGAAATACAGGGTGGTAAGAAAAACAGAAAAATTGTAGTGAAGATTTTTTTGAAATTTTTCTGATTTACTACACTACTGTAAAAATGCTACACAAAATGAAACCAATTCCACAGTAAGCTGGGTAAGACTGCGCTGAAATACAGGCTCGTAAGCCAGACTGGGAAGCTTTTGAGAACCACAATATGAATGAGCCATTTGACTGACATGCAAAACATCCAATCACAGACCGTTTAGTGTGACATGCGCAATGAAAACAAACTTGGATTAACAGTTGGCAAACTCGTGAGGACATCTCGTTTACTTGCTACCCACAGTGCCAAACACAATATAGGAATAACTTTTAAAAATGGGATATACACTGAGGCCTGCACCTCACTTTAAAGGCTTATTGGTGAAAAGATGCAACTGCTTGCTACTAGCATTTAGCTTAATAAACAATCATTTTTATTCATCAGACAGTGCACGTACTAGAGTCAATTTAAAGTCTCAGTGAGGGGTGAGTTTCTGAGAGCAAAGGCGATTTTAGCATGCAGTTTACATCAGACAGTCTGTGTACTATTGTGTGAAGTGCTGTGTACTTCTGTGTGTCACGGACACCCGGAACACTCACCTTTTTTTATGTGGTAATAACAACTTGCACAGGTTGCACGACAATTAATTTTTAGCAGTCGACCAGTCATTCAAAAAAGTAGCTGACTAGTCGACTAGCAAAAATGTCAGACACTGAACGTGTCTTGGCTGATCGACTACATTTGGGGTAAAAGGGGAAAATGTGGAAACGTTAAACCTTCAAAATCTCAAACCTCCTCTCCCTGCACACATGGATTTGTATCTTCAGAGTACAATTACACATGATGACCGTGATGAACGGAAGACTGCTTTTGACTGTGGTTAATGATTGTGATTCACTGATTAGATTGTGCTGGCTGAGCAGGGCTGGTTCAATTAGGGTGTTTAGAGCAGATTTGATTAGTGTGTGTATGTGTGTGTGTAATTGCGTTTGGTCTTACCTGGCCTGTGTAAGCAAAGTCCAGCGCATGTTTTAGACCAACACCTGATACTCCCTGCAGAGTGACCTCATCTGCCTCACTCTCTGCCATACACAAACTGAACATGGCCTGAAAATACAAACACAGACACATACTTGTTTTTGTATGTATGTTTGTATGTATGTAAGTATGTATCTATCTATGTGTATATTATTTTATATTATATGCAACAATAACTGTTTAATAACTGCTAATAATTAATAATAATTGTAACTGTTTATTTAACATAAGAAAATAAATAAAATTGCAGTAGAAGTTGCACAAAAAATGCCATATTTAAGGATGTCTTATTTTATTTTCATTTTAAAAAATAACAAAACATGTAATTTATACTTAAAAAATCCATATAAAATAGCAACATGTATATGCAAGGTGCTCATATATAGTGTTATATATAAAATGTTCTAAGCCTAATCTTAAACCTAACCCTAACATTAACTTTGACCTCAGGAACCAAAAAGATAAAGCTTTGCTGTTTCAGTTTTAAAAATGAAACAGGTCAGGACCATTCTGTTGGTTAGTTAGTCCTGATTTTCTCAAATGTACACACGCACACACACACATATACACACAGATGAAAGTGGTGGAGAGGCCGTGCAGGTCCCGCTGTGCTCCAGCGGGGGTTTGGTGATCAAAGGCATTGATTAGTGTCATCCAGTGGGATATCACACACACACTGATCTACAGTCTGTAACACAGCAGCATCACACACATGCATAACCATCAAACCGGGACACACAGAGCAGCTCTCCCAGCATCTGCTCGAGAATCCCAGCACTGTACTGTTTCACTACACATCTGCTGTATGTGTCACTTCAGCAGTAAAAACATTTGAGTCTGTAAGTTTCTCAACAATGCACAATTTCACAATAAACCACTCTGAATGACTCTGTTTACATCTCAACGATTTAATTATTAAGAATTTTTTTTAAAAAGCGGTGGTATTTCCCTTTAACAAATCAGACTCAACTGCATCAGATCAAAACATCCTTGCAGAACTGCTTCTTAGTTTTGCACTGGAGATATGGAGATAATAGCAATTTGCATTGTGTGCAACTGCATGCTTAAATCATCACATATGTGCCTCAAACCTTGACCTTAAAAATAACTAAAAAAAAAATGGTGAGAATTCCGATTTTTAAAATTTCTGCATAATTAAATCATTGAGATGTAAACAAAGTCATTCAGAGTGGTTTTATGTCAAACATTGCATTGTAAAGAAACTTTCTGACAGATTTTCTTTACAATGGCAGTGTTAGAACTAGAGGTTGAGTTTTTAAATGTAGCGTTAATAATGGTAAAATATATATTTTCTTTGGGCACTATGTTGCTTCACAACATGCTGCATGTACACCTCTACCTTAAACAGAATTTAAAAATTTTTTTGGTCAAAACTTTATCTCAAAACTATAACTATCAAAACTATCAATCTTAGGCATGAGGCAACCTATTCATAACCATTTCATGTAGTAGCTTTGTGAGATAACTTACAGACATTAAAGGCTTCAGGTTCCTTACACTATCGCCTGGACAATTCTGACTTTGACCACATCTCAAATGCAGTTTTCCTGATGCTAACTGGTAGGGGTATATACTTCCATTACTTGTGAGCTACATTAGCATGGTAGCTCTAGGGCAAAACTAAAGAAGCAAACTTCTAACACCAAACATCTTGGCTTATTGACTACAATAGGGTTAGGATCAGGGAATGGTATTCACAAAGTAGTCCTAAGTTGACCGATCTCAGATCAGATTCCTACATATTTATGAAGCTTATTGTTACAAAAACGGATCCTAGGATCAGTAGTCCTGCTCCTGAGGTGGTTTTGTGAATACAAACCAGGATAAGGAGAGCAAAAACTCACCCTGAAGTAGTCGCTGCAAGCTGCCAGCACGGCTCTGTGGGCATGAAACTTCTGCTCTCCAGCCACCAGCGTGACATCACACAGCAGGCCGTCCATCCGCTGCTGGTTCAGAGCTGCCAGGACGGAGTGCTGGTGGGATTTGGACTGACACAGTCTCTGACCTGTCAGCATGGCCTGTGGGCTAACACATACACACATACATGCAGAAGTTTAAAAAATGTAATGTAATGATGCATCAATCTGAAAGTGGACATTCAACAGCAATTTTCTAATGCTAGAAAATGTTACAATCAATTATAATCAGTTATAAGAATATTAAATAAAGTAGTTGCCCTAGTGTGTTCAGTGTATTTTTAAATATAACCCTGAAAAAGCACCAAAACAACTGAATCGAATGTAACTGAATCCTGTTTTGCAGGGAGGGCTGGGGGGGCCTGGATCCCCCCTTGGTATTCTTCAGTTTCTAAAAAAAACAATGTTTTTTTGGATGCTGTGAAGTTAAAAGACTCTTAGCTAGTAATAGCTGTGAAAGAGCTACAGGAGTAAACCTCAAAAAAATACACTGTGAAAATAATATACATCAATACACATAACTAAATAGTGAGACTTTCCCACAGAGGACCCCCAAGACCTCTGCCAGAATTCAAACCCTGGGGTAAAGTAAGATTTCATGCTGAATTGTAGTAAGGTCATACTGTAAAACAAAATTACTTGTAAAACTTTACCTGTAAAATAACAGCAGTTAACTGGCAGCAGTTTCTCCAATACAGTGCTGTTTATTTACAGTGCTGATACAACATCTCACAATTACAGCACATTGCTGTAATAAAAAAAAACAGTTTATTACTATATTTTTTATATACAGACTTATATTTATTTATTATTTAAATACAGCATCATACTGTAATTCTTATATTCAAAATAAAACTGTAATTACATAATATACAAGAGTACTCGTATCTTACTGTTAAAAGTTTCAGGCAAGTATTACATAATGTTGAATTGCAGCAAATTCTAGCTATTTAAAGCCAGCACTATGACCACAAAGATCGCAAAGCTGAAAATAAGTCTGTTTTAATGTGACCACCATGATTTGAATAACAAAACATACAAAATGCATTCAAACATATCTTCTGGTTCAAAACTATATGTTAAAAGAAAAAAAATCTCATGTGAAAGGAACTGAAGAAGTAAAAAAATTAACTGAATTTAACATGTCTTTTTGAACATGGCTGTGCCTTCTTGACAACGACATTCACATGTTGAGTAAATCAAAATAGTCTGGCAACAAACTATTTTAGTTCTGGTTTTGAAGGTTTTTTAGTACTCTGCAGTATTTAAGACTTATGCTTGAACAGCAGTTGTTTGCAGTGTTTACACCCATAACATACACACAAGTACATTTACATTTATGTGAATATCCACAATATGGGATGCACCAACATTTTGTCCAAAAATGGTCAAAAGTGGCACTTTTGGTTTTTGGCCAATAGAGAAAAAAGGCAAAAAAAGATTAATTAGGCCTAGAGGGAGGTGTCAAAAGCTAACACTTATCAAAAATCTGAATGATAATGAAAATGAAAAATAGCGATTAAAACACTGTTTGTTCTCTTCGCTCTCCTGTTCTGGTCAACACAGAAGCATTCAAACAGTTCAAGCAGGAGCAGATCAACAGTAAAACATGGTCAGCAGCAGCTGCATTTCATACTATCTTTAGCTGACATGCTTTTTAACATTAACTGATTTAATGAAAATCACATAAATAATACAGTGTAACTGAATATCTCTTGGTAATCAACTTTTTTACTTGTTTTGAAAGTTGTGTCTTGTCATGTCTATGTGCATTACATATAAAAACAAGGTGTTTTCTGTCATAGCCGAGATCCTCTGGAATTCAGCTTTACATGCCTTTGGGAAACTGAAGTTTATTATCATTTTACAACTTTTAATATTTAATATTATTTAGCAAAATGTTTGAAGTTAAATTAGTCCTCTAGTTCTCTCCCCTTCTCAATATGTTGATTATCCCCCTTAAAGCATCATCGCTATTAATGCATTAATTCAACAGAACAAACAAAACAGTAAATTATTTGTTAAACAACCTTTTCTTTCAGCTTTTGGTTTTCTGCCAAGCGTGTCCTGAATTTCGGTTTTGGTCAAAAAATTTTATTTCAATGCATCACTAATTCACAAGTGCTCTGTTGTCTACTTGAAAAACTTCACTTTATGCCAGGGAAACAGGTCAATGTCTAAAGATACCATTAAACGCTAAAATGCTGCCAGAAGCAGGAGTCAGTGCTGATACATAAACACACATACATACACACACTGAGTAGTGTGAGTGACCTTCACCTTTCACCTTCTTGTTTGTGTATTTCTCTATAGTTCATATTAAAAAAATAATGAAATTACTAATGAACTGTTAACATGCTTCTGAATTAAGAAGATCATGCAAATTTATTATAATTTACTTTCTTACAGTTTTACAGTCTTACAAAGTTACAGTAAGAAACACAGTTTTTATATATCTTTTTCAATTCTTCAAAGTCTTTTTAAAGGCTTCCTTGTTTATGTATTCCTGTAAAGTATTTTGAAAGTCAGAAAGACATTTCATGGTTTAGTAATGCTCTTATAAAGGGCTTTTAAAAGCCTTTAAGACTGATGTATATGTAAACAAGCTCTGAATAAATGCTGAATAGGTGGATTTGTAATTGTGTTGGTTCTTGTGACATCACAGAAACAATGAAATCAAAACAGATTTTTTTGTAACTTAGTTTCTACAGTTAATGGAACGTTTTAAAAGTTTACAAATGCTTACATATTACAAGCTCCTTTATTTAAAAAGCAAGAGCAAATTTGGTTTCCCAGGATATGGACCCTTAAATTCCACTTCTTTTTAAATGATTGTCCTTTTATTAAAAACTCTGATCAATCTATTAACAATTTAATGTCCATATCTGAAATGGTTGCCTGAATTTACCTGAGCACAGATTTGCAGAAGAAAAAATCTAATTGATCACACTATATGGCTACAAAAGTAAGCTTTTGTCACTTTAATACATATTAAATTTATATCATATTAAATCATATTAAAAACCATATTAAACTGGTTACTTGGGACTTGTGAACGAGGGCGTAGCCAAGGGATGGCCGATGCCACCCTCCCATGAAGCGTAGCCACCCCTCTGGCCAGCCCAGTTAAACAAAGTGCACCTAAAACACTGTTTTAACAGCACCTAAATAAATCTCTACATCAGTGCATTACAGGATTTTCTGTTACCAATAAGTAAAAGATTTTTCACATAATGTAATGGAAAACAAGATAAGATCACTTTCCATTTTTCCAGAGTGAAACTGTATTTAAAAATGTGGTTAACTGATTAATAACTCTATTATTTTATTAACCTGCAATTAATTACGGCCACACTAATAATCTGCTTAGTACATTCAGTAGTGCTGTTCTCCGAGCTACATTAAATGAAGTAGGCTACATGAAAAAAAGAGCAACTAATTCTATTTTAACGTTGTATAGTAACATCTATTGTTTATCATTTTATTTAAATACTCTTCACAGCTGAGTACATGCGTGTTTTTAACTCTTTTGAATTGCCCGTCTCGCCAGCAAGACAAAATTCCATGCTATTTTTAAAGCATCACTGCTCCTCAGTAGCGAGAGCTAGAGAGATGAGGTTTTTCCCCTTGAAACTAGAGAAACATCCAAAATTGTCATTGTGGGTCATTTACTTCCTATCTAAACCTACACTGTAAATTTACAGAAACCATCCGTACCATTTCTTTGTACCTGGCACGATGCTTATTCAATCGTTTTGTTTACAGATCAGTTTAAATCAGCTGTCTTTATTTGTGGCATGTCATGTGACGTGTGGTCCACATTCTGCATTTGACTGACTTTGGTTTGCAAGCCACAGTGAATCAGAGCACATGATCTGGAGATTTAAAAGTCAAGGTGGGCACGCATTGGGAAACGGGTGCGCAGATTGGCTTCGGTTGCTGCAGCCAATCGGAGTTTCTGATTCAGAGGTAGTCACAGTGGGAGTGTTTTTGGGCAACTTTGAGAGAGAGGACAGAGAAAAGCAAGAAACACAACCCAAAAACAAAAAAAGAAACACGAAAAATATGGTTAGGAGGATTTTTTCTACAAACGAGGCTCTAGAACTGCTGTTCCATACAAACTCTTCACATCCCAAATCATGTTATTCAGAAAATGTGGGTGATTTTGGTCTCATCATGCAGACTGTGTAAAAAATACAAAAAATTGACCCCTTTCTTGTGCAGAGTTTGCTATGTGCCATTTTGTAACTAGACAGAAACTGCCAAGAGAACTGTCATAGAAGCAGTGTTCCACAAAAACACAGAGGGACACTGTCTAGAAAAAGGCATAATTTAAAAGCAAAAAGAAGAAAAACTGTATTTTAGTGTTTTTTTCACATTTTTATGTTAAGCTTTTCTTTTGATATCATGGTTTAACATTACTTTTTCAATAAAAACTGCAAAAAAAAAAAATCTCTTTTTTGTGGTACTGTGGATTTGTGGGCTAATTCACCAACATAGCGTGTATAAATATTTGTTGAATGATGTATTTTATTAGCTGCAGCCATTGCAGCTGAATCTGGGGATATGTAACATGTTATGGTGAAAAAAAAACAAAACAAAAGTCCAAAATGTAAAAGTATGCAAAGGTGGAAGTGTTAATGCAGGCAAGATTTCATCAGAGACGAATCCAGTGCTGAGTATAATTTCTAGCCAATGCTTATTCTCTCATAATGATACTTTATACCTTTTTTCCCCTGGCAGTTTGCCATCCTGAAAAAATGGCTGGGTCGCCCTCATTGAAAAGGTTCTGGTTACACCCCTGATTGTGAACAAAGGTATGAAAGTTACATGTAAGCAAAAGATCAAATCCATATTGTTAGATGTTCTTTGTCTATATAAATATACAAAATTCCATCACTTTAGACCAGTGGTTCCCAAACTCAGGTGCTTAAAGAATTTCTAATATTTGATGTTTACACTTAACCCTCTGTTGCACAATGTTACCACAGAGCAACAAACCCACTTTCATCACTTTACAATAACATTATACATATTTAACAACAAGACATGACAAGGTTAACAATAAAGGGCAGAGATTGAGTAAGTCAATATAAAGCATGTACTTGGTCATGCTGTCTCTAAGTGGACACTTTTAAACCTCTTTTTTAACATTCAGTATTATTTGTTTTTGTTCTGAGAATTTACAAAAATATGTTTGTTGCCTACAAGCAACATTGTGCGACAGTGAAATGGATTTAGCCAGTCACAAACCACTTCAGAGAACACAGCTCTATATCATCTCTTCCCATTGTCGTACAATGTTGCCTCAAGGCAACATAAACCAAAAGGTCTGCTGCACACATTACTATTTAATGTGTTTTTGAATTTAATAAACAGGTCCACATTATGCAAGAAAAGTGAATCGAATATTTTTTTTTTAAATTGCTCTCATAATGCATGCAGTAGAAGGTTAATTTAATAATCATTCTGGAGAAACCGTTCATTCAAAAGTTCGTTCATTAGCTTATCATTTCCTTTTGTAGGTGTGAAGAAGTGAATTAATTTAATACTCGTTGTTGAGGCCTATATGATGTTAGTGTATTCCAGTTTGTTTCACTTTTATAGCCATGGTTTAGTTCGAGGTTGTAGTGAGCTATTCATTTGGAGCTGTGCATTTGGAGCGCTTAGCCGTTAGCACTTTGGTTACATAGTGATTACTGTTTGTGCTGCTCCTTTTCGTTTAAAACTGAAGAAAGTTCACTCCTCTTCCTCATCCCTCTGCTCTGAGCAACACTTTGGAATGAACCCAGTCTATACAGGCCTAACATCACTTATTCAGTATTATTCAGAATATCTGGTGTGATGTGTGTCCTCATCATAAACATGTGCGATACATTAAGGAGGATTATCTAGAGACATTTTACAAGGCTAAATGTCGTACATATGCATGGCAATATGCACTTACATGCGTAAGGTGTGAGAGGGTGTATGTAGCAGAAGGTTTAATGTCTGAGGGGTTACACAACTGTAAAAAGGAACCACAGTGAATTACTCAAATTATGTAATAGTGACAGCTCTGCTCTGGACGACGACTTCCAGATCAGAAAGAGCATATCCAGATCTCGAATCACTGACAACAAGGGGTGCCTTATGTCTGTCTGAGGATACATGCAAAATATTTCAACCACAGATTTTGAATCAAACTACTGTCATTAGCTCTGCTGTGGTCAGTTAGCATCAGTCAGTGAGCTATTGTGAGTTTTCGAGCAAAATGCACAGCCAGCTCACATCCTCAAAGAAACATGTTTTTTAATCAGCATTTTATTCCCTGTCCGCAGAGATTACCAGCAACATTTCGAATATCAGCCATGATGTTAACTCATCACTGCAACGGTAGCAACACTGCAAGCAGTTATATGTCTACTAAGGTAGCTTAGCAATTCTCATTCTGGAGATGCAGCTGGCAGTGCGACCTTTTTAAACAATTTTTATATTTTATTTGATTTAATCTTTTCATAATCCCCCAAGACTATAAGTTTTGTTTACTTCAAATATCTCTCATTGGTTAGCGCTGGTTTTCTTTTTAAAACTGTCCACAGAGCTTGCTGTATTTCTAGCGTTCCCTATGGCGGGCAGGGCTGCCAGATTCAGTAAAAAAATCTCCAGACTATAACTGGCTTAAATGTCACCCACCAAACGCTGGAACTTAATAATTTTCTCCCATAATAGCATTTTCAAACTTTCCCAATTAAGCAGGAAAAACACAAAGCTGGCAACCTCACGGCATGCTGTACAAAACACTCCACAGGGGTGGATTTAGTGATTCTGGGGCTCAGGCAAAAGGCTGGTAAGGGGCCCTCTGGCTGCTCATTTAAAAACTAGTTCATGCTATGGGCTCCTAAGTGGAACAACCATCTACACTGCAAAAAAATATAATAGGTCTCAATTTGAGACTTTTAAGAATATTATAAGATTATTAAATAAGTTATAACTTATTTCTAGATTTTCTTTTACTAACAGAATTTTACTAAGTGAAATTATTGCACAATAATAATTCAAAGGTAATTTTGTTAAGTAACATAACACCATTACAGTTTAAAAGAAATCATTTGTAACCTGTACATTAATGCTAGCATTGTGTACAGTCTGCTGAGCCTGTGCAGCACTGTTCTGAAAAAACAAGGTCAGCTTTAACCTTAGTGCAACAACAATCAGCTCACTTTTCTCCCTCTTTTTGCATTTCTCTGTTATACTTGGATGACTTTATCTGATTTTCTCTCTTAACATACAGAAAATCACACGGAAGCATCTCCGATCCATTATGTAAATAATTACTTAACTGCCTTTTCACACCAGCCTGTCTTTACGCAGTTGTGTCATCATGGAATAGTTCATTATTACCATGACCAGGTGGGTGGAACTGCACTGACACTACTAAAAATAACAGCTATTCTTAAAATATAATTATATTTTGAAGTAGGTTATTTTACATAAACACAAACAGTATAAGTAATTTGCATTCTCATGGGGCCCTTGGCTCTTAGGGGCCCTAGGTGGCTGCCTACTTTTGCCTAGTGCAAAGACTGCCCCTGACTCCACAGCATAACCAATGAAAAGTGACAGTGTGGACTTTCTACATAAACATCTTCTCTGTAGGTGTGCACATGCTCTGCCCTGATCAGAACTTGTGGTTTGATTTGAAGCACATTTGTACTGTGTTAATTTCACCTATGGATGACAGAAAAATACTGAATAAAATCTTAAGGGGTTGGAGATGGTCATTTTTTTGGACGCGGAGCATGGCATCCCCTCACATGCCTGCTCAAATGAACCAGAAGTTAGAATGCATTTCTGTTTTATTTACATGCATTTGCATCAACCCAACTTCCAGCCACTGTTTTGAATGCTCATTTTTTTGGATATTTTATTGAACTTGTTACACTCTTTGGTATAAAACACACTGATACCTACAGTCTGTGTGCTGCTGTGTGAAAGCCTGTGTTACTGCAGTAGCAGCAGCAGCGTGCCAGATTACTGCAGATTCATCACTGCAGCGTCAAACCCCCAGGGGGAAAAAGTCTCTCTCTGACCGTCACACGCACACACTGCAGTCCACTGTTCACTCAAATACACCACCATGAACACTACATAAACAATGAACCCTTATGACCACCCTGTACACGCCAACCTGGTGAAAAAAGCACTTTTAATATTTTAATATTGTCTCATATTAAGCTGTTTTCAGCTGAACAAGTTGCCATATTCTGACAACTGAGGTAACTCAGTGGAAGACCATACTTGGACCACAATGGAAAATATGTACAGTTCAGTGCAAAAGTCAGTCAAGTAACTCAGTTTTCAGTGTAGGAAGACAATAGAAAACATTTATTTAACATTAAAATAAACACTTGCATTAGGAAGGGGAAAATAAACCAGAAAAATAGAGTGTTTCCAAAACTTGAGCTCAAAAATGAACACTGAAGATGGACATGTGACGTGGGTTTTATGGATTGATCAGTCTAAATTTGAGATCTTTAGATGTATCAGAAGGCAGTACATACACTGCCAAAAGCAATTAAAGACTCTTCGAACTAGGATGCATCAATACTGACACTGGAATCAGGTATTAGTCCGATACTGTGTTCACGTACTCGTACTCGTAAATGCACCAATACCAACATTCTGATACATGCTGTGTAAGCCGAGTGCACACTGCCGCGCTAATGAACAAACACTGTGAACGAGGCTCTGCTCACACAGAGAACAGTTACTGACTCTGTGACAGTTGGACACAAAGCCGTCAGTCATTTCAAACATTCCGCCTTGGCAGATTCTCTCCAGGAATACACTGATTTTAACCCATTTAAAACACACACACACAAACACACTCACAACTGCTTCCCCAGTACGGGTGGAGACACACATATAAACATTAATATGGTGATTTTTTGTAAAACAGGCTGTAGAGAGACGTATTGTCTTACCGTGTACATCACTGCCTGGCTTTCAGCTTCAGTGCAGTGTTAACAGCGCTTCTCAGTACTCGGAGCGCAGCATGTTATTTTGAATGAAACAACTGTATTTCAAACTGTCTGTAGACAGAGCTGTGTGTAGAGGCTGAGTTTCATGTAGAAATCTTTGCCTTTGTCTGCATACGATGGTCTATTCAAATGTACAATGTGTATCACCAAAGAACAAGATTTCTAAAATCACACAGTGGCTTTAGAAGACATTCAACTACAGCTCAACCAGCCACACAAAATACTCCTAACAAGACGTAAAACTCGAAACATAAGCTCTTCAGATGCTTTAGCTCTAAATGTGATTCCTGCTGTCACTGAGCTACAGAGACTGTTGCTGAAAGAGAGAGGCAAGGAGCAAAACTATGACTTTTACTTGACTTACAGAAGTGCTTTTCTGAATGCTCTTCTCCACTGCAGTGCTACTTGATCAAAGGTAATTAATGTAGCATAGCTAGCTAATGCACATCATTTAAAATCAGCTAGATTGTAATGTTTTAACTGTTAAGGTACCTTGCACTCATTTACCCTGACAACTACTTCATTCTAATTAGGTTACTCAGTGTGGTATCGGACACGGTATTGTTGAGTACTAAAAAATATGTACTAATATGTACCAGCCTTGTGGAATGAATGAAGGCAAAAACTTGTAATATTCAGGATTAGTTGTACACACACACACACACACACACACACATACATATATATATATACTCTTTCATCACAGATATCATATGATGTCATCAATCATTTTTTGCAGTTTAAAAAGCCCCTTTGCATTGTTTTCTTAAGACATCACTACTGTGTTACCATTAGCTGGAGTTGAGGTGTGTGCAGCAGTACAGAGATGAGATGTTTGTACCTGGGAGGGGGCTCAGAGGGCATGCTCCTGAAGGACAGAAGAGTCTGCTGGGACTAAAATACACAGCGGGGGCCACACTGAGCATGTGCAGAACTCTACAGGGAGAGAGAGGAAAGAGTGATTTAGGACAGAAATTCTCAACTTGTATTACCTCAGTAACCACATTTATCTGCCATTAAGTAAAAAAACCAAATGCAATTTAACTTTCTAACCCTTCAAATGTGTTTCACAAATGATCTGTGCAGTAACAGGCTCTGCTAATACCTCGTTACACAAAATACAACGTGGTTTGTGGTCCATTTTTCTGTCCTGTCATTTTTACTATAGTTGGTGGCATACTTTACTTTCGAGACCATGCTGACAAAAATTAGCTGCTCTGACATATTGTGACATGTATGTTTTATTAGGCTAACTCATAAATCTAAAAATAAAAGTTAGACTTTCTGAAGGAGAAGAATACAAACATGACCATGCCTGTTTACACTAAAATACAACAATATAATACAGCAGACGAATAGCAAAATGGGTTACTTAGCTAACATTAGCTGCCATAATGGGTTAGCTAACATTAGCTGCCATTCACATTGATATTAGCTCCTGACGCATATTCATTTAATGTTGAATGATAAACTGGCTCTTTTAGCTAAAGATAATTACCTAACATCTATGGTAAGAAGTATTCCTTTGCTAGGAACATTAAACTGCTCAATGCTAAATGCAATCATCTAACATTGGCTAGCTAGCTAAATTAACCTTAGCCATGTTTTTTTTTTTTGTTTGTGTGAGTAAAAGGGGTGGAAGGATAGATTCATGGACCCACTCCCCCTCCTGTGTATCCAAAACTACACCCTTGAAATACATAGAGATAAAGCCAGAGAGATAAAGGGCTTACTGTGGCTAGCAGCTATGACGCTAATCTTTCTCCAACTTAATGAAGCTGAGGAATCACATTACATGTCAACATCATGGTGGCGTCTGGTTTCTCAAAGCTGTTCGGCCTAATGGATGATCATGTAGTAACAACAAAGAGCCACAGTCTGAAACACAGTCCAGTCTGTAACAGGAGAACGCAGTGTGTGACCACAAAAAAACCCGCATGGTCACTCCAGTCTCACCTTAACACAACGTGTCTGCAGCTTTACCCAGACGCTCAGATCAGCAGCAGCAGCAAATTCACAACCGCTTTCTGACCCTCGGCGTCGAAGCCATGTCCCTGTAGCTATTGATCTGATTACAGAGTGACCTTCAGACGGACAGGAGGACAGAAAGAGAAAGACAGAGAGAGATTATTAAATATTACCACTAGACAGATAACTTGCTAGATATACTTAATCCTAATTGGCATATTCCACACGAATTACATCAACCCCATTATGGTAAGTAAGTAAATGAAAGCTGGCAGATTCTGATAGCGACTGCTTTACATCCAAATTAGCCGACAGATGATATGGCAGATTTTTATAAGCCTTTTTAACCTCAAGCTCAGACTGTGGGTTAAATGAACACATGAAGCACATTAGTGTATTTCTAGTACTTTCTATTAGCCTCAACATAAATAAAATGATATGCTCTTTAAAAAATCTGAGATTTTAAATTCATAGCTGTTTAGCACAATGAGTCATGCATAATTATGCTCCAACACTGTGGTAAAGGTGTAGCAGCAGAATTCAAATACAGCACCACTTACCTGCCCTGTATTATTTGCAACACAGATCTGCCAAAATACAAATAATGAATTGGCTGATTGCTGATTGTGCTCAGAGCCAAAATCTGGTCAATTCTGACTGTGCACCCTTAATGTGTTTTATTTATGTTGAATGGTATCCAATTGAAAAAAGTCAATTAAATAAATCACATTCTGTTTACAGATGATTTACAAATGAAATACTCAAACAACACTAAATGTTTACAAATGTACTTGAATATGTGCAGCTGGGTATTTATATATAACAGGGGTGCCCAAACTTTGTCTTGGGGACTCAAAGGGCAGTGTTTGCGATGGGCTGAGGGCCACGAAGACAAAATAATATACAAATAAAGAGGGTAAAATTTTTTTAAAATGTATTTTTCAGCATTACACTATATTTTATGACTGAACAAAATAAAAAAAAATGATAAAAATTAAAAGGAAAATAAGTTAAACATGTTATAAAAGAACTTTGTGGATGAGGGCATCAGGTTAGGCTAAATTTCTGGTGAGCCAAATAACGGACTCCAGAGTCAACTTGGCCTGTGTGCCAGACTTTGGGCAGCCCTGATATATAATTTAGTCCTTCAAAATAATTTTATTACTACTTTCATATTACAGTATATTACCCCTATCATTACTATTCTACTACTATCTGTTATTATTACTCCTATGCCTATTCTTATAATTGGACAGTCCAAGCTGAAACTGGCCTGTGTAACACACAACACTGACGAAACGCAATGCAGCAAAGATAATAATATATCATTAGAATAAGCTGGTGAATGAGCTGGTGCCCCCAGCACTGTTATTTGTGCGTGCAATGAACACAAGTCACACTCATTCATTCATTCACTCATTCATTCATTCATGCATTGCCTGAATTCGTTCATTTTCGCATGGATACATGAGCTCGCATCGCCCACGCTCGTGCAATTCGTGCCATCTCAGTTGACAAAGGGGTCTCCTAGCAACAGGGCAACCAAAACGGCTGGTTCGGGGTAAAAAACACCAAAACACAAGTTCGTGTTTGCACCGTCTCCTCTCTGCACGCATCACACACACACGTACAAATAAACCCCACCATTTTGGCTCCTAGCAAAACATCTAGCGTTCATGTGACGGTTAGCACATGCATGTCCGTCCAGTCGGGAACATTTCAGTGTTTTTCTGCTCCTTTAATGAGCTGATGAGGTGGGTCAGGTGCGCTAGAGCAGGAAAACACTACGAGGTTAGTACAGGCTGTTTTATTTACCTCCTCATCCAGCGCTGTTCTGCCTCTGCGAGCCTGCCGCTGCTGTTGCTTTTTGGACATTACTGTCGCACTGACTGACTGGTTACAAGGCGCGTGCTGATCGCCGAACTTGGTCCAAGCGTGTTTGAGGCTGCAGTCACACGCATCCACCCGTCAATACATCCATCCATCCATCCGTCCAGTCTCCGCCTCTCCAGGTCATGTGCGCTCAGCTGGGTCATGTGACAAGCATTTTTAATCACACCCGTATTCCGGAAAGCCCCGCCCTCCCCCGCTGGGATTGGCTAGTAGGTCATCCTCGGCAGAGCGCCGATGAGAAGTCTGTGTACTACGGCTTTTATTGTAAGGCTGCGTCCAAAACAGCTCTCTAGTATATTATACTGTGGCGCCTGGGTTCCCATGATGCTTTACTCGTGCTTAGCTGGCCTATATTTAGTTCTGAAAAGAGTAAATAAAGGTTTTCGGTTGCATTTTTGAGTATGCCAAGGTAGTGTTTACAGGTTATGCGAACACCCATGTTTGTGTCCTTATTCGTAAATTCGGTCGGAAGTTAAAACTTCCATCTTTGAGAGAGGAGAAAATCAAGCTGATGTCCTACAATTCAAGCTGATGTCCCATAGCTGTCTTACAGCAGTGTATATAGAAAAAACATCACTGTTGGGCTGCTTTTTGAGATTTATGATGTACGTGGTTGAAAACCACATCAGTAGAAACCATATCCCTCTGAAATTAACAACAAAAAAATCAATAGAGGCTTTCAGTGCTAATGTCCAACCCTAATGGAGAGAGACTCACTCACAGTGGAAGAAACAGGGAACAGCAGGAATGAATCACAACATGCGGTTATGACATAGTGGTGTCTGTGCCTAATAGGGAGGAGCAGCACGTGCATGCGTGTTTTGGGACATATGGAACTTCTTCTACTTCCATACTGAGTGTTTGGGTATCAAAGCACTTATGTGGAATAATTATGTGGAAAGTTGCCAACAATCTGATTAATCCACTGCTGGGCTGCTTTTATAAGATTTTATGGGAGCTCCAATTTCCTCCTTACCCCAAATGCAGTCAATCAGCCAAGACATATTGGGTGTTGTTACTTTCTTTACTTTTACCCTGGACGAGGCTAATGTAGCTAACAAGTAATGGAAGCTTAAACCCCACCGATTAGCACTGAGCAAATTGCAGGCCTCCCTCACACACTTGCCTCAAACTGTGTTGAATTTTTAAAGCTGTACCTTTGTAAGATTTTTTGTTAAAACTGAAAGAAATATCATTACTGAATCAGGAGAAAAAACAATCTAGTAAAATATGGTGTATGTGCACTGCTGCAAGTCACCCTGTAAAATCTAAAATAATAATAATTTCAAAGTAAGCAGCATTGGGTCAGATTTGGCGGGAGTTTTTCAGATCACGTCATGTGTCTTTACATATCAACGTCACACGCACAGGCTCAAAAAGAAAGTCCAGCTCAAAGCTTATAGGTCTCGATGCAAAATCAACAATATAGTAAATATAATACAATATCATGAAGATATTATGACAAAAGTAGATCATTCACTTACTTATTACTTATTCTGAAGACATGTCCTTTTTTCTTTTTGAATACTCTTTCAAAATATTTTCAAACATCAGTTTCAACCACTCGGGGAAGGGGTGCAAAGCACAACCAATGTTCCAAAATGTTCTTCTGTACTTTACATGCAATTACACATTTCCACAAACTTCCATAGTGCAGCTTTAAGCAAACACAAAAAGACTTGCTTATATTATTGTATGACATACTATCTATGAAAATCGACAAAAGTAAGAACAACATTTAGGATTCAAGATGGTAAATACTACTATTTTCATCTCAATGATGAATTTTGTTCATTTATAAAATAACAGTGTGTCAGAGACCAATTGATTGAGCTAATAGAAAGCTATTGTCTGCAGATTACCAGTCTTTTCACAGGGCCATTCTATTGTCTACATGAGTTAATCTCAGGATAATGATGTCAGCTAAAGAAATTAACATAAATGCAAATGTGAGGTAATTTACAGGCAGTATGCTAACTTACAAATACCAGCTAGTACATGACTAGCCAACACAGCTTTGAACAGTTGTACACAGGTTGAATCATAATATTTTTAATTACAACACCATAATGTTTACTTAATTGTGGAAAATCTGTGTTTTGGAAGTGACCATCTTTAACGTTACACACTGATTTTTAGACTTTGGAACACATTTACTTTAAAACAATGATATCTAACTGCTTCCCATTTGGTCATGAGGGATTTTTTATTTAAAATTTTAACTCATGATAAATCTAAATCTATCAACCTCACTTTAAAAAGAAATTTTAAAAATCTGAGTGTTATTTTCACAAGTAATAGACAAGTAATACTAACAGAAAGTATTGCAATGATTTTGTATTTAACTTATTACTATCCCTATTAATGCATTGGGTTTAAACAGATCATAACGTAAGCCTTGTAAATGTCTATGGTCTGAATACTTACTTTTTTTTTTAATTGTCAGACCATGGGACCAAATCAGTACAATCATCCATACACAAAGAGAGAAAACTGAAACAACCTAAAAATGCATACCACACAAACAAAGAAAAAAGAATGATATTGGTGTTGAATAAGAGGAAGTTTTTATTAAAATCATTAAGGACTGAAGACTTTAGAAGTAGTAAACAAACTAAATTAAACCCTGTAATTTACCACACAATAAGTGTGTATATCCTGTATTGCCACCCAATGCATGCTTTGTGGTTTTTATTGCATGTCTGGCCTGACAGGAAGTGTCTTAGCTGAAACCAGATGAGCCAGTTTAGAACCCAGAAGAGGGAGGAAGGGAGGGGAGAAAGATAGGGTGGAGTTAGCTAGAAGGCAAAAGAGAGAGAAGGAGAGGCATATTTGGGAGAGGAAGAAGAAGAGAAGACAGAGGACAAGGAGAAAAACAAAGGAGAATGTGAGGAGCTTCTAGATTTATCTAAAGAGATCTATAGTGGCTTCGAGTTTCAGGCTTATAGAAGTGTGAATATAGAGACTGCAGTGTGATTGTAGATAGTAGAGTGCCTCAGCCACCAATTCTATTAATCTAAGAAGAACTGCAGAACATATTTTGGATGTCCTTTGCAGTTTTAAAGCCTACAATGGATTCCTTTACCACTGTGATTCGCTTCCTGACCAACCAGAAGACCACCATTGGTTATGGTGTCATGGCCATTGCCACCGTTGGTGGGGAAAGGCTTTTTTCATTGTTTTCTTTCCAGTGTCCCTGCAACACTGAGCAGAATTTCAGCTATGGTCTGACGTATATGCTCGGGCCTGCCTTGGTGCTGCTGACAGTGGGTTTGTTTCTCAGCACGTCTCTGTGGCGCCTTTACACAGGCTGCTGTTTGAACCCCATGAAGCTTTGCCCCAGGGGAAACTTTATAGGATGCACGTCCATCCTTATCAGAGCTCTGGTGGGTGCTCTAGTAGCTCCAATCATGTGGCTGAGCGTAGCTCTGCTAAATGGAACCTTTTACGAGTGCGCAGTCAGCGGGCTAGAGGATAAGGTGATTGTTGACCTTTTCTGTAAGAACAAAACCAGCACATGTAGAGCGGAGTTGGCCAAAGTGCCATGCAAAACATCAAATTTACCTGTAGCTGAGACCAACGACCTGCTGCTGATGCTCAGAGCGCAGTCTCAGGTGAGTGCATTTGTATACACGTATGCAGAAGAAAAATATATGAACATGTACTTCCTGCAATATTTAAGTAACAGAAGACTGGAGGTGGTGTGTTATGGTAATCATCGCCACAGCTGTGGTTTGTTTGCAGTAGATCATCACAACTACAGTTTTATTGACCATAACAAGTGTAAAGCAAAGAAGCCCAAAACAATGTTTTAGATATATATATAGCTGATGTGAACGTAAAATATAGCAGCTTAGAGTAAACTGGTGATCAGCGCAATGATAGTATGGTGAAAATATTATGTCATTATCAGATATAACAACATGGATAGAGCCCTTTATACCAATCAGATTGTGTGGGAGGAGCTATTCATGTCAATTCAAATTTATTTGTATAGCACAAAGCAGCTTTTCAGAAATCCAGGACCCTAGGATGCAATCAAAGTGCAACAGTGGCAAGGAAGAGCTTCCTAAGAACAAGAGGGTGAGACTTTAGGAGGAACCATGACGCAAAAGGGGAACCTTTCCTTCTCTGGCCAACAATGGATGGCAAAACAATAACATAAGCATTGATAATGATGAATGATAACTGATGATTGATTGCTAAGTGATACTTATGAATAAGTGAAAATTAATGACTTATGTTAGAAGTCTATCAAAGTTTATCTTAAAAAAAAGGTTAGCCAAACAGAATGAGAACAATTGCCATGGGGGCTCAAGGGGAAAAAGGGCAACACAAACATGTAGGAAATATAACTGAATGTACAGCATATGACACCCTTTTTTCAAAAAGACAATATGTCAGTCAGTTTGGTGTCTGAGGTTTTCTTTTAAACACTCGATGAGGCTAATATAGCTAACAAATAAAGAAATTTATACCCCACCAAGTAGCATTGTGTGTTTGTGCAAACTCTACACCTAAATCATCACACATTTGCCTCAAACTGTATTGTGTTGTTAAATAATCTCAAATAGACCTGCTTATGTTGTTTTTGACACTGTATGACATATTGTTATTTATAAAAATAGAGAAAAGTACACACAAAATTCAGGATTCAAGATGTCTTCAACTATTGTTTTTAGCTGCATGATGTATTTTTGCCCATTTTATAGATAATAGTATGTCAGAAAGCTAGTAGAAGGCTATTGTCTGCATATTACTAGGTTTTCCATAGTGCCATTTTTACTGTCTATTTTGTATCAGAATAAAGATGTAACATAAATGCAAACTTAATGTGAGATCAAGCAGTTAAAGTCAAAGTTTATTCATGTAGCGTTTTTTTTACAACAGTGGTTGTCGCAAAGCAGCTTTACAGAAAAATCCGGGTCCAAGCCCCCATAAGCAAGCCAGTGGCAACAGTGGCAAGGAAAACTCCCTAAGAGAAAGAGGAAATAGCATTGAGAGGAACCAAGACTCAAAAGGGGAACCCATCCTCCTCTGGTTGACACCGGATAGCAGGGAATAACGAAAGAGCAATATGCAAAGAGAATAAGGTTTTAACATTAGTGCAAAACATTAAAATACAGAAAAGCAGTTTCTAACACCCTTATCAAAAAGACAGTCATGTTTCAGAGGAAAGTAAATGCAGTGTTAAAAGTCTTTCCCAAAGCAGCTTAAAATGATGTCAATCCTGCCATAACAGGGCATTGAACCCTGTCTTTCACGTATAGGGCTACAGTGTTAACCACTACACTATCTAACTGCATACTACACATATGTGACTAACAACTCGTCTTTTAAAGCTTAACATTGCTTCACAAAAGTTACAGATCCATTTAGGATCATCCAAAACACAATATATGCTGATTTTTTTTTTTTTCAGCATGTTTAAAAAGTTATTAGCGCTGCTTAGTGCCAATGTTATGTTTGGCTGTTGTTCAAAATAAGCACGTTATGGAATGTGAATTAAACTTTCTTAAAATTACATAATCAGTGTTTTATCAGTGGGACTTCCAGTGATCTGGTGATGCAGAGTGAAATGAAAGGTCAGAATTTTAGCACAAAACACAAAAATGAAGAAACTTGTAGAACCCAAACATATTTGTTTACCTTGTTTTTCAATCTCAGTTTTTTGTGTAAATATATGCTCATTTTGAAATACATGCCTGAAACACGTTACAAAAAAGTCAAGAATAAGGCAATTTAAGGAACACTGTGAAGTTATGTTTGAGGTATGCAAGTACATTTGAGTATTAAGGGGGCATCCAGGGGAGAACTAGTCCTTTATAAGTGAGGGTGCCACTTTGCCAAAAAATGTATCAGCAAATGTTCCAGCAGTTTAAGAACACTGTTTCTCAACAGTGTAATGGTAAGGATTTTAGGTATTTTATGCTCTACTGCATAATATCATCAAAGATCCAGGGAATCTACAGAAATCCATGTACGTAAATGGCAAGACCAAAAACCACAACTGAATACCTGTGACCTTTGACACCTTTGATCCCTAAGACAGCACTACATTAAAAACTGGCATGCATCTGTGATAAACAACACCACATAGGTTTGGAAGTCTTTTCACAAACCATTTGTCAGTAAGCACTGCTCATCCCTGCATCCACACATATGTGTCAAGTGTACTGTGCACACCTGAAACATGTATATTAACAATGTCCAAAAACTCTGCCAACTTCTCTGGGCTCGAACTCAACTAAAATAGACAGATGCACAATGGAAACATGTATTGCGGTTGGACAAGTCACCTTTTCAGATTATTAATGAAAATAATAGATATTGTGCTCTTCGACCAAAAGAAAGAAAAGGATCCTCCAGATTGTTACCAGCATAAAGTTCAAAAGCCAAGGTCTGTCAAGGGTTTGGGGAGTATTAGCACTTATGGCCTGAGTAACTTCAACACATCTGTAAAAGCAGCATTAACACGGAAATATATCTACATGTTTTGGAGCAACACATACTGCCTTCTAGATAAGATCTTTTTCAGGGACTCCCCTGCTTGTTTCAACATGAAAATGCCAAGTCACATTTTGCATGTGTTGTAAAAACATGGCTGTGTAATCAGAGAAGGGTGGTAGACTGGCCTGCCTGCAGTCCAGAATTGTCTCCAACTGAAAATGTGCAGCACATTACGGTGCTCAAAATAGGACAGCAAAGGCCCCAAAAGGTTGCAAAGTTGAAAACTTGCAATAAAGAAATATTTCCCTTTCAAAACTTCATCAATTTGTGTGTTAAACATCAAATATCATGTTTTTTGTACTGTTTCAAATTTACTAAGTCAAACTGAATTTACTAATCACTGCTTTCAAATGTCACTGACTGGTCACTTTATCAGAAACTCTTCCCTTCCTGGTGTGCTGTTGATGCATAATTTGTGTTAGTCCTCTAGTCCTTCTCTGATGGTCAGTTTCTGAACACAGAGCCACTCTTGGGTGGTGGATAACTCACAGCCCTGTGGTTTCTAATAAACTCACTGTGTTTATGTGTTTAGATCCTGGGCTGGGTCCTCATTATAACATCAGCTTTGGCCGGACTGATTGGGACATGCTATAAAAACTGCCGCTCTCAGGTGAGTTACCTGCAGCTCACTTTCTGGAAGATCTACATGCAGAAGGAGAGGGAGAAGTTTGACTCATTTGCAGAAGACTACGCCACCAAGCTGGCCGAGCGGAACCTCAAGAGTTTCTTCGACGATAAGGACCCGGAAGCCTTTCCTTTTCCCAATCACACAGCCTGGGAGCAGGTTTCAGCTGTTTACACGTATAAACACAGCGATCAGTGCTACAGCACCCTGCAGAAATACGTGGAGCGACCTGATCGAGATTACAGCACAGAGAAAACACCGCTGCAGATGGAACACAGCCTGGAGTAGAGACAGTAGGAATAGATGTGGACTGATTTTTGTTATCTCCTGAAATCTACTTAATACTTGTGTGTGGTTTTATATACTAAAAACATTATATACATTATATACTAAAAACATCATAATTCATATTTAAATGAACATTTCTAACCTCTCTTTTTGCCTTAGAATTAAACAGGCTACGACCCTGTGTGCTGGGATTAGTTTTCAATGGGGAGGTGGGGTAATGCCAGTTTACCTTAGGACGTCTGTGATGTTTAAAAGTGATTTGCATGGGATAAGAAATCACAGTCTGGGAATGGCTACTTGATTTACACACACCACCTTCGCTCCAGGAAAGAGTAGATAAGATGTTGAAACATTTCATTTAGCCATTATTTTGTTTACTCTTGCCTTTCTGTCTCAAGTGGATGCAGTGTGTTTATAGCATCAGCATTAGCTTGGAAATTAACTGCATAAAATCTAAATTCTTCTGTAATTTTACAAATGCTAAGTTGTTGTACGTGCGAGACAGGACAGTAACATTATATATATCGGCTTGAATTTAACTGCAGAGAAGAATGAGGCTTCTTATTCGCCAGCTTCTTGTTCAAATTTTCTCATTCCACCTTAAATTCAGCAGCTTCATTCTGGCGCTTCAGGTCTTATAGTAATAACTGCCACACTATTTAAGGTGGAATGGGAAAATATGAACAAGAAGTTGGTGAATAAGAAGCTGACTTCAGTTTCGTCAGATAACTTGAGTAAACGCTCCTTCAAATGTCTTCATACTTAGGAAACTCATTTTCCACAAAATATGATAGCATTTCACCGACACGTCGATCTGCAAAGGACTAATATAAGCTGAGGTCATTTTTAGGGCTCATTTTACAGAAGGTAAAAGAGGTCAGAATCATAAAATGACTGACATGGCGCATTCAGACATGATTAAAATCACTAAGAAATGCCAGTAATAATTACATTATCCCCCTTTCTCATGTAAAACTAATCCCATCCAAATAGGGCTTAACACTGATATATGCAAATAAGCTCTGTTCAGATTAGTTGCCCTATATTGTGGCTTATTCAAAAAGAAGTATTGGCTAAAATGTAAAGTAAGAGGGGCTAAGTTGAATGAGCACTAAATATGTGATGTCATATGGTACATTTTGAAACTAAAACAAAATCTGTACTTAGTATATCAAGAATAAAAAAAAAATAGAAAGAAAATATCTTTAAAACTTTAGGTTGAATATGATCTGCTGAAAATCAAATTTACACTGTTTTCTCATTCACCCCAAATATAGCTGATCAATAAAGATGTGTTTGGTGTCTGAGGTTTGCTTCTTTAGACTACATTTGGGATGAGGGGAAATTTGTGTAAATATGAAATAAAATGTTTTAGCCAAACTGTTGCTTTAAAAAATGATAATTCTGCCGTTGCAAGCATGTATTACTTTTTTAAATGTTTAATTATTATTTCTTTTACCTGCCTTCTTTGATTGACTGCCTTAAAAAGTTAATAACATCCACAGTATAATCTCAGGTGTCCGAAGTTTACAAGCTTTCGCACTTTGTACCAACATTCCTACTCTGTAAGACGCCATAAGAATCTATAAGAATCTAAGTCATTGACAGTATATTACATTATAGGCACTTTCTCACTTACCCTCTTTAATACAATCAAAATATTAGTATGGATTGTTGTGGTGTGAACACCACAACATGCACTAAACACATAAACCATGGACCTCTAAAATCACATGTTTCGGTCTACTTCCAACTGAGCTGGCTAGCTTTTTTGAGGGATTAGACAATGTGATGAGAGCACCACCACCTCCTACACCATCGAGAAGCATTGGGTTTCTCATGATTGTCCTCAGATGCTCTCATTATGAGACTGATGAATGGATTTTTGAAAGGTGGGGCCAGTCATCAGCAACCTGACTGGTTAAATTCAAATTGACACATAATTACATGAATCAATCATAAAGAAATAGACATCAAGTAAGGTTTATTTTTATTGTTTTAGTTGTGATCCATGTGGACATTAAGTGTCTGTTTTCATACAATACATTGGTTAGGACAATATATTTATATAAAGAATATAGATCTGGGGTAGATCTGAGATATTATGCAATAAATAAAAAAATAGCTTGTTTAATGGAGACAAACATGGAAGTAAACATGGAAGTGCCTGTATCCCCATCAAATCTCTGAACAAGCAGTTAAAACCCATGTGAATAATCTGGTGCACTTTAGATGCTGCAATTTGAAACCAGCCAAACCAAAAGAAAACCAAAACGGTGTTGCAGACTTTAGCAAATAAACAGTGTGCAAAAAGCTTATGAGTAATATATATGACTGCAACAATTACGTGTTTATTGCAAAATCAATGCAAACTTGAGAGATGCTTTAAATAGAAATTGCTTCAATTAGCTATTAACTGTCAATAGTGCCTAGTGTTTTTGTTTGAAAAAAGCGCAGTTTCAGTACTGCCCTGTGCTTCATTACATGCAAAATTCTAAGGAAATCACTCCTCCCTTAGTTATTGTTGCTACATCTGTCAAATTCTCAGCTCATGCTGCCTGGTAGGATCCGTAACACTAGTGCTAACAGACCAAAAGTTGTAGTTTAAAGGAAAATTAAGAAGCACAGAAAGAATACATTCAAAAATAGTTCTGAGGAAATTAATTAAACATTTCATTATTACATTAATTAAACCAGGGAATTTTTTTAGCTGCTCAATATTAAAGTGGCAGGCTTTCATGTTGAAAAAGCAGGAGATTTTAGCGACAGTGTCAACCCCTTCTGATGATTTCAAAATGCAACACAAGTAACACAAAAGTTACAAAGCTATCTCACTAGCAGGCTACCCAGCTAGAAAAACTAGCATAGATCAGCATAGCTGGTCACCAGCAAAACAAGCATATGTTGTGTTTTGGATGCTGGTATGCTGGTCAACCAGTATGATCATGCTGGGTGACCAGCTAAACCAGCACCAGAGCAGCATAAATTGGCATAATCCAACTCCGACCAGCAAGGAATGTTTGCTGGTCTATTTTTTTCAGCAGGATAGCAGTCTTAGCAAATAACCTTGGAACTCTGTATGGTTTCAATATTGCCTTCCCTTTCATTAAATTCAATCAAACACTTTTCTTTCAAATCTTCACTTTCAACATGTATGTGTAAAACCAGAAAAGAGAAGTTGCAAGTGGACGCATGCCATCAAAGTAATGTTAGGTGCTGAAAAGGAATTGCCATTGTTACAGCAAGCTTTAATGAAACAACGTAAAGAATAGCATGTGTACAAGTGCATTAATATTTATTACATGAAACACGAGCTAACTGATCTGAACACTTACCTATATTGTTTATTGTTATTTTACTTTTTCTTTTCTGCTTCAGGAATTAATTCAAACAGCTCCACCCTCCAGATGATCAGGACAGCATGTGTCATTGATATAAATATTCCTCAGGAAAATCTTTTCACACTTGCTAGTCTAAGAATTCCGACTAATTTGCTGCCACTGCCGGTCTCACTGCAGGTTTGTTGTGAAGAATTCTGTCAGAGCTTTTCTTTTGCTCGATGGAGGAAGGAATGTTGTGATTGGGTGAGAGGTGTGTCAATCATAATATTGCAAGGTTTGTTGGTTTACTCTTAACTGTACAGCTGTGCAGAAAGCAGTGCATGAAAAGACTTTACAATCCAGTATTCTGTGGCAGGGCAGCACGGTGACGCAGTGGGTAGTGCTGTTGCCTCACAGCAAGAATGGCCTGGGTTCGATTCCCGGCTGGGCGACCAGGGTCATTTCTGTGTGGAGTTTGCATGTGCTCCCTGCGTGGGTTTCCTCCCATGGTCCAAAGACATGCAGTCAGGCCAACTGGGCATGCTAAATTGCCCCTAGGTGTGAGTGTGTGTGTGACTGTGTATATCTGTCTGTCTGCCCTGCGATGGACTGGCGACCTGTCCAGGGTGTATTCTGCCTTCCGTCCAGTGACAGCTGGGATAGGCTCCAGCACCCCACTGTGACCCAGAAGGATAAGCGGTTTAGATGATGATGATGATGTATTCTGTTGCATCTGTAGCATATATCTCATTACCACAGAAAATCAATTTCCTGTATATAAAAAGGAACTGACAATGAATATAAAAAGGAACTGATTTCTAGAAAAGCATTAAAGACGAGGCTGAAGCAACTGCCCATCGATTACTATTGTAAACTCAGCAGGTAGAGTCAGTAGGCCTTGTTTTATTTTAATTACTGTCTATGCTATTTTATCATATGCTAAAAATTTACCAGACAGAGATCAGTTTGAAAAACACTGGAGTTTTCGTCTAAAATTACTAACAGCCACAAGATGAGTCATGCACAAACACTTTTCTGTGATGAATCACTTTGGCATGCCTTCATACCATGTGACTCCAGTTTTGATACGCACTTCTGCTGACTCTTTAATACTTTTAATTTGTTATTTAACAGTTAAATGATCTGTGAATGTTCATTTTGTTCCTAATTTTCTCTGCTAAATTGCAGGATTTCTAAGAAAAACAGGATTGTTTATCAAAGGACAAACCAGTGAAAAAGCTGTCTATATGATGTCTGTTATTGTACAATCTTTCATTAACAATGAGTCACTGACCAACCACTAATAAACAATCCTTGTGAAAAAACAATGTGTAGATATCTCTTCTAATTAGTAAATTCATTTACGGTGCCCTCATTGCTGACACAGCCGTACAACTGCAGCCTTACCAATAGAATGTGACACTCTGGAGCAGCCACATATAATCCTAAAGTAATATAAGCCGTCGCACATGTTCGGTGACTTTGACCACTGACTTAGCGTGTCATAGCACGCCACTCAGTATTTATTTGCTATTATTATGTTAAATTAAGTCATATTGAGACTGCAGAAAGCCATATACTGTGACAACTGGGAGCTCAGAATTTTCCATCTCGCTCTTCTACATCCCACCTAAAAGTTTTATCTGTTTCAGATCGGAAATGGAGGCTCACAATACTAGCACTTCTTTGGCTGCTGTGTATGAATAAAAAGCTCTTAGAAGTGTTTACAGTTGAATTGAAGAGCTGTTCAGTTGTTTTAGTGCTTTATTTATTTTAAATGTGAAAAGGCTAATGCAATTCACCATTAGCATAATGTTGACACCAAAAGCGTGGTTTGATTAAAAATCTTGGACAGAAGAGCACAACCTTGCAATTGTCCGAGTATCCCCCTGTGTTTGTTCACATTATACATCAATTGCATATCACACACAAACAGAAACTCAAGAGACACTTTTTCTCTGTTAATGTCAATGTAATGCTGGAATTACATCATGGATTAGCAACTCAGAGAAGTCAGAGTTCTTGAGAATCTCTGAATGGGAATTATGAGCTTGAAGGAAGTTCAAATGGATTTTTCCTGCTTGGAAGTCGGAAACTCCCTAGTCGCTACGTTGTCATGAACACAGCAATAGGAATAAAACTTACACAGAAAAAGGCAGTCAGTTATTTAAATAAACAGACAGGTGCTAATAGTCTACCTCTGTTAACTTAACTAGCCTTGTTTTCTTTTTCCACTTCTTATCTTATAGCTGTAAAACAGTGAGTTTGTGAAGGTTGTAAACTGATACCAAACAGGAGAAATTATGTTGACAGGTTTATTTCATAAAATTTATATGAGTAGAATGTACAAATGAACTTGAGCTTTAAGTTTATCTGCGCTCTCACTGTGAGGCTTCCTGTGTGGTACAGCTGTGATATATGCTAGTGATGCTACACACTGTGCGGCTCTCGCATACTGTGGCACACAAAATATTACAACCCAATACATTTTGTTCTATACATTTTAACTCCGAGTGTCACTGGATCCTCTGAAATATGAGGTTGTTCAGGAGCTGAAATACAACTACTGCTACATGCTAACACTGCTACACACTGAACTGACATCATTCACCTGGCAACCTCACCAAAATACCTCACACATACCAGCAATCTTTGTCTTTTGAAAAGGGTTTAAAAGGTATTTAAGCATGCAAATGGTTCTTTGAGTGTTCGCAGTTCTATATAGAACCACTGTCTTTACTAAAGAACCCTTAAAGAACCATATTTTTATGAGTGTATTAAAGTAGCCTACAGTTTGACCAGCTGGTGTTGTTGTATAACTGCACTGATTTTTAAAAGTAGACTTATTTTCATTCAGTGTCATTTCAACACGCAAAATGTTAGTAGTTGTTTGTAGTGTTCATATTTCATATTTCTACTCTTAAATGTCCTCGTAATACAGTGAATCCCGTGACACAGGATGTACACAGGACAAAACAGATCAGATTTGGACCATGTCTGTTGACCACTAAAATGTGTGGTTTTCAACAAAAAGCCATTCATCTTTCTCATTGAGAATCTACTTAGACCTGGAGTCCCTAATATGTGCAGCACACAGGCTACAGAATGAAACACAGCTTCAGAAGTCTATGCCAAGCATCAGCTAGAGGGGTATAAAACCCCCCAACATCGGGCTGTGGAGCAGTGGAACTGCTCTTTAGAGTGTTTTATGGAGTGATGGAGCTCCATTAAATAAGTTGGGGTGCCACTTGTGAGACTTATTAAAATGGCCTAAATAAATCAGCCAGGTTGCTTTGCATAATTGATCTTCTTTGTTGTTTCTGAAGCAATTTGGTCACATTTTCTCTGGTGGGGAAACCGTAGGTTTTAACCATGTAGTCTGCCTACATGCAGGAAACCAAAGGCTCGCTTTATAACCACATAAAGGAAGGAAATGCTGACTTTAAAATGAGGGTACAGGTTTCAATCAGCAGAAAGATAACTTGTACTAAGAGTTTCTTATGATTTTGCAGATTCTGACTGTTGATAGTACAAACAACTTTTTTGCACGTTCAAGTGTCAGCTTTTTATAAATTCAATTCTAATGGGAGCATTTTTTATTATTTTATTATGGTAGTAAAAAAAGCTTTGGGCTACTACCATCGCCAGATGCAATAACTGTAACTTTATTGTGATTTATAAGAAGTACTTGGGTACTTGTTCCAGCCAGTCTGAGTCTCTTTGAATGCACCTATTAACAGCCGATCTTCAAATCTGTGAAAGAATCAAGTGAGATTTGCTGAATTGACTTTGTTGTCCTCAGGAACGAAGATTGTGGAGGCATTTGCATCACGTATTAAAGTCAATCTGAAACCAAAACAGACATTTTTACCTTCGTGCTGGTCATGATTCATCATATCATTTAAAAGATAAAATTCTTGTTTTTCCCTAATGCCCACCTCTAAAATGAGTTTCCTTGAATACAATTAGAATTTGTTAACAAAATGAATGACCAATGTCTTTTGCAAGTTTTCAATGTGATAAGCATTAGATGGAAGAGCAGCAGTGTCCCAGTATCAATTTACAAAAGTTTTAGAGTTATTGCAAGAAAACCACTGTCACAAAAAAACAAACAAACAAAAATAAATAAATAAATAAATAAACCACAAATACACTGAATTTTAACTGATTTTTGTATTTAAGGAGTGCTGTTTCACAGACCAGCATGGAATTTAAGCTGGTTTATGCTGGTCTGGTGCTGGTTTAGCAGGTAATCCAGCATGGTCCAAAGCAGGAGCACACAATGATTTGCAAAAGTCCTGAAAAAAGTTAGTCTGGAGTCTTATATATGTCAAAACAGTATTTATCAGTATATTTGTTTAAAAGTTTGTATGTTAGCCTATTTGCTATGCCTGTTTGGACCTTCTATCAGGGGACCCCTCAAGACTTCTGCCACAATTCAAACCCTGTACTTGCTGTAGGTCAGGGGTGCACAGCTTCGGTCCTGAAGAGCCAGTTTGGTGACTCACACACATGATTACACTTATTTATCAATTGCCTAGTTTAGTAGGTGTGTTTGAGTAAGGAAACTATCAAGCTGTGCTGAGTTGTGCGCCCCTGCTGTAAGTAAAGAAAATGGTTAAGCTTTTTGTGGCAGTTTTCTCTGATGTTCAGTATTAAGTTTAACTGAATTAACCTGTAGAAACACGTAAATATTTTCATTTTAATTGTGGAGGTCGTCGCATAGTAGGTTAGTTTTTTTGCACTAGAAGTATGCTGTAGTGTACACTTAAAGTAAGTGCCTACTCTTACACGTTGGAACGCAGCCACCCGTTCGAGAATGCAAACCAGACATTACAAGACGATGCGGGATAACATCGATTCTAGCCACTCTTAGCACACACGCACGTTGTCGTCCGTGGTCAAATCTGAACTGGTGGATGGACGGCAGCGCAATAAAATGACCGACTACGGAGAGGAGCAGCGAAACGAGCTGGAGGCAATAGAGTCCATTTATCCAGACTCATTTACAGGTCAGATTTGACAGCTGTATGCTTATTGTTAGCTAAGTTAGCTCTGTTGTCTTTTCCACTTTTCCCCCAGCAGAGCGCCGGCTAAGCAGCCTGTGCTCTCTGGATTGTGCTTTTGCTACATAGGTTAAATAAGTTAGCAATGGTATAGTTAAATATAAACGGAATAGTTTATATTTATATTTATATTTTCTGTAAATCGCTTGGGTAATGTTAGCTTTGGCTAACGAAGTAACTTAGGAAGAGTGCTGAAGTCATTGTAAACGCTTAAGTGTTAGCATGGTAGCTAGTTAAGTAGCTAAAGGCGTTAGTTATGAATATGTAATGATATCTAGTGAGTGAGAATGAACTAGTTACACGTTTTGTTTTAAATCGTTGTTAATCTGATCGTTTTCATGCAAACAGTGCTTTCTGAGGATCCCACAAGCTTTACAATCACAGTCACTTCAGATGCAGGAGAAAACGACGAGAGTAAGTAACATTACTTGCCTGTGTTTTTTTGTTTTGTTTTGTTTTATTTTTTATTATTATTATTTTTTTTTTTACGTTTTCAAAATTATTAGTGACATTATTGGGATGTTTACAGGAATCAGCTGTCAGTTACCATAGGCCAAAACAAGTACAATTATAGCACAGAGAACTTACTTCTGTCAGTGTGAGCCACAACTTTACTACTAATGACTTTTTGCACACGCTACACATTTAATATTTATACACTGTGTGTCCAAAATATTCAGATGTCCGTTCTGAACACGAATGTTAAGTAGTGCACATACATGTATAATCTCCATAGAAAAGTAATAACTTACCAATTGAATGGTGCACTTTGGAGCAGCCACACGAGTGTCAGGTCACCCAGCTCAATGCCAAGTGTCAGGTCACCCAGCTCAATGCCAAGTGTCAGCTAGAGGGGCATAAAGCCCCCACCTTAATTGGACTGTGTAGCAGTGGAACTGTGTTCTCTGGAGTGATAGAGCTCCATCCAATACCCTTGGGAAGAGTTGGAGTGGAGTGTGATCCAGAACTTATCATCCAACGTCAGAAACTAATGCTATTGTGGCCGAATGCAATCAGATCCTCACAGCAATATTTCAACATCTAATTTAAAGCCTTCTCAAAAGAGTAGAGGCTGTTGCTGCAGCAAAGAAAGGAACACATTCCTTTTAATACCCTTGATTACAGAAGAAACATTGAATGAGCAAGTGTCTACAAATGTTTGGACATGTATGTAGATAATGTTATTTTATTACAGACTGGTAGTACTGGCTGTCCAGTATTGCAGTGTGTGTAGTACTGTGTGCACTGGTACAATGACAATTAAATTGAATAAATTTGCTAGGAGTCCATAACCCAGCCTCCCAAACTCTCTTGCAGCGGTTCAAGTAACACTAAAGTTCACCTATGTGGAAAAGTACCCAGATGAGCCCCCACTGTGGGAGATACATTCCCAGGAAAATCTTGAGGATTCAGACACAGAAGACATTCTGACGCTGTTGAAGCAACAGGTAGCCTATACACGATCTTTCCTTCCCCTTTGTTAGTGTTTATACGTATGGATAAAGAAGTATGGATTAAGGTTACATGATCAGCCGATACACTGTGTTGCAATTTTATGATGCAAATAATGTGAGCTTGTAAGTGTGCTTGTGCTGTATTTGAAAGCTGCTGCTACACCTTTACCAAAATATCATAGCATAATTATGCATGACTCATTGTGTTAAATAGCCAGTCACCTCTTAACATCCTTTTAACATTTTGATTCATGTTATTTAAATAGGCAGCTGATTTTTCATTTATGAATTTAAAATGGCCTAGTAAAGAGCAAATAATGTTGGTTACATAGCAAATTGGTGTAATAGTGGTCTTGGTTATTTACATAGCAGCTTGGTTTAAACGTACTGGAAATGGGCTAGTGTGTTTCATGTGTTCATTTAGGCCTCGTTGTGAGCTCCAGGTTCAAAGAAAAGGCTCATACGAAATTGGCCATCGGCCAATATGGCTCTAAAGAAATAAGAATTATAATCGATCATAAACATTAAAGATACGCACTCTTAGTATGGGTGTATATCAATTATAGTTGAGTTGGCTCATGATTTACATATGTTTATGCCTACTATAAACATATGTAGGACACAAACTGAAAAACAAATGAATTTTATTCTTGGAATTCAATAAAGAATATATCTTCTTTAGTGACATCACTGTGGCTCGCTGTTTACTGTGCGATAATGTTGGGCTTGTATTTTTATAGTATGTCACACTGTTTGAGATGCTGCAGTTTAAATCTCAGCCGAAAGTGTATCAGACTGTGCAGACTGTACGCTACATGCATACGCTACCATGCATACGCTACCATGCATGAAAATGTCCACGTTCTGCTCAGGCCATCTATCACATTTTTGTGTTGGTGGTTGTGTTTTTTCTTTTCCAAAAACAAGCCCTCTGTATAATAATGGGAATAGTTGTTTCTGCTTCATTTGCAATTCACTATTGCTACTGCCGTGTTGTTTTAGCTTGCGCATGACTTATGCATCCCATACATATTCTATTGGTTGCTTCCTTTTTTTGTAGCAGTGGTCACATTTTGAGATTTATGTCCAAAATTTGCCAGAATTTGGACTACATCAGCTGCCTTTGCCACTATATCAATACTCACTGCCTTAGAATTCTTTCATGATTGAGACTTTTGTTGGCTACAGCATTATCCTGGCAAAAATCTTAGAGTGTAAATCTGTAATGTGACTAGTTTTTTGTCCCACTCAGTACATTTTATAAGGAATCAAGTGAAGATGAGCAAAGTCTTATTCCCTTTATTATGAGGGACTTGAATTACATTTCACTTCTCTTAATTCTGTGTTTGAAGGCAGAAGAAAACCTCGGCATGGTCATGATCTTCACGCTGGTGACAGCTGTGCAGGAGAAACTGAATGAAATAATCGACCAGATAAAGAGCAGAAGAGAGGAAGAAAAGCAAAGGAAAGAGCGAGAGGCAGAAGAGGCAGAGAAGGTAACGTTCTGACGGCTCTCTTAAACAGTGTTATGAATGAACATGTATGAAGATTATCTTCTGCTTTGTTTATAATAGTAGGGTTGTAACAATTCACATATGTTATAAGTCAGATTAGAGTTTAATCGAGCCTGAAATTTTGGTCCCAACATTAATGCAACCTTACAGCATAATAAAGTTTAAATTCTGCTTCAACGGGTTTATTCATCAAGCAATGCTTTCAAACAAAGTTTCAAATGTTTTTAGTTTGGATGAACTTTCCTTAATGCACTGTTTAATCTTAAAGCTCTGTTTCTTTACATAGAATGCATTACATATAATAAACTGAACATAGAAATAAAATTGGTCAGACAAATGAAATATAAAGGTAAATTTGGCTGCAAATTGTACTCTCCCGCATCTGTTTACTGTTGTATTTATATTGCCTAGCATTTTCTCAAGTGTATGCTATTTTTTCATGATTGGCTGACTCTAATGATTAAGATAAAAAATTTTTTAATTAATGAACGTAGATAGAAAGGATAAAGGAAGGAAGAAAATAAAGCATGCCCTGATTGTACAGAGCTCTTATACTACACAGATTTGTTTTTCCATTAAACTAAAAGCTGTAAAACAACTTTTGAGAGCAGAACTTTATTTCTGTTGTTTCCTCTTCCAGCGGGCTTTCCAGGGAACTGTGGTGACGATTGAGAATTTCCTGTCATGGAAGGCGCGTTTCGAACAGGAGATGGCAGAACTGAAGAGGAAAAAAATCAAGGAAGATGACTCTGGAAAGAGTAAACTCACAGGTAATAATTTCTGGAAGCTTACACTGCCGTTTAAAAGGTTTTTTTTTTATAAACAATATAAAATCTGGTTGCAGACGTATATATCAAATAGTTATGATGCTAGGCTAGTGCTTTACAACTACTTTCCCTTAAAATACACTGTATGTCCAGATGTATCCAGATGCCTCTCCTAATAAGTGAGTTAACCTACTTTAAGGTGCACCCACTGCTTACACTGTTGTTCAGTTGCCACTCGCAGCTTCTATAATCTCCATAGAAGAGCTCTGCCAATAGAATGGGATGCTCTGGAGCGGTCACACATGCGCCTGATCGTGCCCAATGCAAAGTGTCTGCTAGAGGAATATAACATTGCCAAAATTTGACTGTGGAACTGTAGAACTGCATTCTTTGGAGCACCTCCGATACCTTCGGGTTAAGTTGGAGTGGCATTTGTGATCCAGAACTAATTATCCAACATCAGTACCTGACCTCACAAATGCCTTTGTGGCTGAATGAAATCAAATCCAAACAGCAGTGTTCCAACATGTAGTGTAAAGCCTTCTCAGAAGAGAAGAGGCAGTGCAGCAAAGGAGAGAAGAAATGTTGGATGAGTACAGGGCTCCAAACTGCGACTAAAATTATTAATTTGCGATAATATTATTTTTTATGGGTAACTATTTATTACTATTGTTCTGTATTTGTAGCTTTTTATGTATTTTCTTTCATTATTTTTCATCTTAAACCATAACTGATATTCTTTAGCGTCACATGGACGCGTTAGTCTGTCAAAAAGTCACCTGCGTTCTTGCAGGATTTCAACCAGAGCGGCGAAATGGGACAAACAAAGCATATGAGCGAAGCTTTTTTGCCGTTAACGTCGGCGTGTAGAAAATAACAAAGCGAAAAAATATCTTGATTTTTCACACAATCTACGCCTGTGTCAGACCTTAAGAGGCCATCTGCTCAACGCTAGTTTGACTCAGGACCAGTGAAAGACCCACACGAAGATGTATCTGAACAACCGTCTACCTCAAGCACTTCATGCAGAAGTACAACCACGGAAAGATTTCAGAACTTCTTGGCTTCAGGAATTTGCATGACTCAGATATGATAACATAAAGCAGAATATACTGTGAATTCTGTTCGAAAGCAAGCCAAGATGTAGTTGGGAAAATGGATTTCTTAAAAGGAACGAATCATTTAAAAAAAAAGAGGCGGCGAAAAAACATGGCGAGAGTCGAACGCATGTGATTTAATCATTGCAAAGAGTGCTCCTAAACTCCCTCATGCAGTGTCTCGTGCAAGCAAAAAACAGCCGAGATAGAGTTCAAAGAGCTTAAAATTGAATTCAACACAACCTACATGATAGTACGTAAAGAACTAATCTTTACCAAATTCACCTACCAAATCTTGTTAATGAAAAATAGTGGACTGGATGTGTCGAGAATCAGGAATGGTGGAAAGCAGAGATACTTAAAGGGGAATTCTATCAAATATTTTATTTGAGATACAAACAGACATCCAGATTGTTTTAATGTTAAATGGTTCATTTGCAGAGAACTTACAGACAGAGTCTTTACAATGATGGTGACAGAATCCAGGACTCCTGATATCTACAGTGCAAATGTAGCCATTTTATTTACTATCCAAAACCACCAGTGAACCTACACTCCTCTGAGTTTGTATGTAACGGTGATGATGGTAAAATAGTGGTAAATCTGATAATTCTTTGTGGACTATTTTGCCTTCATGTATCCCTCCACCATGAATGGATTAAATTAAATTGATTAAAATACACTTAAATCAAAACCTTATCACAGATTTACTGTTAAACAATGTCTCCGACATCAGGGAGTGTATTCATAACCATTGCACGTAATACCTTTCTGGGAGGAAGCTTTTAGAGACATTTAACTCCTCAGATGTCTGATTACTATCATCATTGTGAACAATTCTGACTCTGTAAGTCTCTCTAGAACAAAGCGTTTCATACCAAACCACTCTACATGATTTTGTTGACATATAAACCATTTAATTATGCAGAAAATGTGAAAAATCGGTGGAGTTCCCCTTTAAATCACAGAGCTGACCTGAGGTGCATTGAAAAGCTTTATTTTCCTGCATATTATTATTTGACCCTTAAAACTATTGATGCCTGTTTTTTTTCTTTTAGGAGCCAGTGGCTCCTCAAGCTATTTTTTTTGTCTGAAGCCCTGTGAGTAGGTGTCTACAAACTGTCAGACATGTAGTATACCTTCTGATGTTTAGTTTATGATATTTAAACATCCACTGTATACATTATTATTGAATAAAATCACAACAGTGATCATTATGGCAAGTGATTATGCGAATCGTAGTCTTTAGTGTTTTACTCAGGAACCAAACAGTTTTTTTCCACTCTTTTACAGGAAAGCAGCTGTTTGAGAGAGATCATAACCTTGACACATCAGATATCCAGTTCCTGGAGGATGGTGAGTTGGTTTAGCATAAAGCTAACAAGGGTAACTGGGGTAAAAGAGCTGATGATCTGGGCCTGGCTGCAGAGTATCCCATGGATATTATGGGCACATGCAAAGAGGCCTAAGCCACTAGGGGGACCCCTGTGAGCAATTATGAGAAAATTTAAACAGCTGTTTTGACTCAGGATGGGAACTTTGCTAGCGGCATAGCGGAATTTGTCATTGTGTTATGGCCAATCATAACGTGATGCTACGTGTCTTTCCGGAACGTCTGCGTTCTTTTATTTTCCAGTTACTGAGTAGCAGTCATTCCACTCTCCACTATAACCTCAGTTAAGCTTTCAGTGTTTTTAGCATTGAGCTAATGTTAACCTTTGAATGTACTTCAAATTTGAAACTTCAGATATTCAAAAGATGTGTCTGGGAACCTTGTTAAAGTGAGACCTGATTTGCACTGGGTGTTGGGTTTGCGTTCACCTGTGCTCTCTTTTGGGGGGGGGGCAATTTATAGTGGTGACGTAGCCAGTACTGCAGTTCGTTTTCTACCACTGTAGTGCTGCCGTCATATAATCTGCTGGAATATTTTGAAAAAAAATTCCATGACCACCCAAGGAAGATAGGTAGGGGCCCACTAAACATTTGTGCCCAGGGGCCGGTAAACACAAAACAAAAAAACTTTCACATATATGTTTGTAGTCATGTCATGTTGTCATATAGTCAATCAGCCAAGATATGTTGAGTGTCTAAATTTTCCTCTTTTGTATTACACTGGAGCTTTGAGGCTAATGTAGCTAAAAAAAACAGGGAAATTGCTGCAGAATTTTTTATTTTTTTTTTTCCTGAATGTCTTCTCCTCTTGCAGGTGGGAACAGTGTTGAAGTGGATGAGTCACTCTTCCAGGATATGGATGATTTAGACTTGGATGAAGACGATCCTGATTATGACCCACTGGAGCTGGGCAGTGATGAGGACTAAAGTGGTCAAATGGTCAACCTGAGAGTGGACACAATGGCCATTCAGACAGCAGGCTAACCATGCTAAAAAAGAACTGTTTCCCCAGGCTGCAGGATTCTGCATATTTTATTGGAACTGTTAAATATGATAATTTCTACCGTTATGCCATTAAATCCCATCAGTCATGAGCTGCTGGTATTTCACATTGTTCATTTCTGTCTGTTCTCATATTCTTACAGAAATCAATAATATCAGTTGAAAATACTGTTAGGAGTTACATTTCTCTTTTCTGGAATCTGAGAAAAGGCAACTCTCTGCCTAAAAAATGTTTTGCAGTTGATTTTAAGTTTAATTAAAACAAATTGGATTATGTTGCCCACGACTTTCAAAATGCTAGAAAACTCAAAATGTGCTTTTTGTATTGTCCATTGCCAGCAGTACAGCTGCTTGTTTTCCCTTCTTTGTTCACTGAGCCCTTAAACCAGGGGTTCTAATCTTATCCACAAAGTGGCTGCAGGTTTTCATTCCAACAAAACAGGAGATGACCTGTTCAGCAGTTGAAGACTGAAACCAACTGATTAAACAAGGGGAATCAGGTGTGCTCCAGCTTGTTTTGAGGGAAAACCTGCAGCCACACTGGTCCTTTGTGGATAAGATTGGACACCCATGCCTTAAATGTACCTTTTTTCAGATTTACCATTATCACATTACATATAAAAACATTCCTTCACTCATCCTTTAAGGTAGTAAAAAGGTAAGTTTCTGTAGAATAAACTACTTCACATCAAAAACTCTGACTTTATTGCCGAGAATACACAGATGCATCCTATGCAGTGTCTGGAAGTTTTTTTGTTCCTCATGTCCCAAAGATGTGATGGTAAAAAAGCCAAGGATAGGAAAAGAGGACACACAGTTAAATATATAAGAATCACTCATATCAGCAGCATTAAAAAAAATAGTTTGGACAAAAATTCTAACTTTTTAGAATTCTAACTAAATTTTCCCTCGTAACTCCAAATGTAGTTCATCAGCTTCAACATTTCTTATTTGAGGTTTACTCAAAATGTGTGATGCAATACTAAAGAAGCAATCTAATATAAGCAAGGCTATGTTTATGGGAAACAATGCTCATGCTTATATTTATTAATGGAAAATTGTATAAACTACATTTTTAGCCACATATTCACATCGATGTTCAATTAGGCTTATCCATGCCGTTTGTTTTCCCAAAAGAGGGCAGTAGAGATTTAGTAGAAAATCATTTAATTTTGAAAAAGTCAGCACTTGTTTAAGGACAACCAAGATCCAGTGTAATAACAATAACAAGAGCTACTGAATTACAAATGCAGTTTATTTCAAGCACAAATGATTAATATATAAAACACCCTTTTTAATTAAGAAGATTTATGAAGCACTGTACTAGAAAATGAAGAAAAAAAAACAAAAAACAGTATCTTCAGCAAGGATCAACTCAAATGGTTTGTTTCCATTTTCAACTCATTCTGTTACTGCAGTGTCCCTAAATAATAGTGATGTTTAGTGTTAAGGTTTGAATGGCCTATAAGATGCTGTGAGATGAATAACAGTAGAAGGTACTTATTAACCGCAGTTTAAATAGAGTGTCATGGTTTGATGATGTCACTCATGTCCCATGCAAAGGAGAGCGGCACATCCTTCATCTTCTCCTGGAACACCCGGTCAAACTGCTCACTCTGAGCCACAGTGAAGTGATTCTTCCAGTCACCCACTGTACCTGTAGAACATAAATAATATATACACTGAGTTACCAGTTTATTAAGTACTCCTACCTTATAGCTACACTCTCTGGAATTAGAAGCATCCACCACCAACAGCCCATGAAGTGTATCCACGTATTTGACTGGCACTGAAGGTGGTTCATGCCATACCTTTCCTGAGGAAGCTACCGTTCTGGTGGTCCAGCAGTGAGTCAGGGATTTGTCTGTAGTTAGCCTGCTGGTTGTTGAGCATGTTTTTAAATGTACTGTGTTTCACCACATCCTCCAATTCATTTTCACTTAGGTCTTTCCCCAAAAACACACAGATTCTCTCCACCTCTGACCGCAGATCCTGAAAGAGACATTTTTTATTCATTTATTCATTCGTCAGGTCCGCGGTAGGAGAAGCTAAATGATGCAAACAAAAAAGTGGAACTTTATCCTTTCAAATAAGCAAACATTAAACACAAAATTAAATGTTATGTGCAGAAGACTGTTGTGCTCCTCCTTAAACTCCAAGTTTTTTATTCAGTTATTACACTTCGGGTATATTCTGCAATAACTACATACATTGGTTAGTAACTGCCATGAATTATTTAGTAACTACTATAAATTATTCAGCCCCCAGTATGAAGGTTTGGTATTTGCTGTGATTTTTTAATAACCACTATGAATTATTCAGTAATAGGAATCAGGCAGTAACCACAATGGATGTTCAGTATCCACAAACCCAATTCTTAAAAAGTTGGGACAGTACGTAAAATGGAAATAAAAACAGAAAGCAGCGATTTGTCCATGAAGTCCATTCTGACTTGTATTTAACAGAAGCAGTACAAGGACAAGATATTTAATGTTCTATCTTGACAATTTCATTTTTGGTAAATATACATGCATTCTGATGCCTGTAACACGTTCCAAGAAAGTTGGGACAAGAAAAAACAAAACAAAAAAAAACATCAGCAGATAGTCCAATTGTTTAAGAATGTTCCTCAAAAGTGTTTGCAAGGACTTTAGGTATTTCACCCTCTACCGTAAGATTCAAAGATTATGGAAAACGGCGTGTGTGTGAAAACCAAGCCCAAACACCACAACTGAATGCCCATGACCTTCGGCACTGCATCAAAAACAAACATACTTCTCTCATAGATATCACTGATTGGGCTCTGGAATGTTTTGACAAACCACTGTCAGTGCACACAGTTCATCGCTAAACTGTGATTATGCACAGTGGAACCGACATATCAACAATGTCCAGCAACTCTGCCATCTTCTCTGGGCTCCAGCTTAGCTGAAATGCACTGTTGTATGGTGGAAACATGTTGTCTGACAAGTAAACTTGTAACAAGTAAACAGATTTTTATTAGCGTGAACTTAGAGGCCAGGGTTTGTTGTGGTATGTGGGAGTACAAGTGCCTATGGCATGGGTAACTTGCAGATCTGTGAAGGTACTATTAATGCTGAGGGGTACATCTGCATTTTGAAGCAACATATGCTGCCACCTAGATAACACTTTTTCAGGGACATCCCAGCTTTTTTCAGCAAAAAAGCAATGCCAGGCCACATTCTGCAGGTGTTACAACAGCATGGCTTGGTAGTAAGAGTGTGCAAGTGCTTGACTGACCTGCCTACAGTCCAGACCTGTCTCCCATTGAAAACGTGTGTCGCATTATGAAATGCAATATACAACTATGGAGACCCCAGACTGTTGAGCAGCTGAAGTGTTATTTTATTTACTTTTTTCTAATGTTCCAATTTTTGGAATTGGATGTGCAAAAAAGTATCTCCTCTGAATCACTCAGTATCTACTATGAATTATTTTGCATCTACTATGCACAACTAAGATTTATTAAGTATCTATTATGAATCATTTATGTTAAGTGGTTTTGAAGAAAGATTAAAATGGGTAGGTTGAGATAGATACAAAATATCAAGGAAAAGCGCTGAAATAAAAAGTAAAATTCAGCAATATGTTATACCAAAAAATGGACAATAAAATTTGGCAAAGAAAATGCAAGTTAAAATTCAAATGCCCATAAAAATATCTATAACAACAAAAATATAATAATTGACAAAAATAAATCTGTCAGAAAAATTTAAAGTCAAATATAACTTTTGGAAGGGTAAGAAGCAACAAACCTTGATCATGTCTTCATAGGTGATATACAGGAAGTTCATTTCATCTCTGTGAGAGTACCAGGCTTTAATGTGCTCAAACCAGCAATTTCCGAAAACTGAAACAAGAAAAACCTTATTTTAGTCTTAGCTCAGCACATACACACAGCATTCATGTTAGTTAAAGGGCCCATATCATACATTTTTCTCACTTATTTAAATTTTATGTAATATGTTAACATGTCAATGTTTCAAAACATTCATTTACTCCCCAGCACAAACAGTTGATATGAAAACTAAGCTGCAAAATATGTCGTTTTAAAATAACTGCTTTTGTGATTAATTAACCTTGAAGTTAGTGTTTTAGCCCAGATGTTTTTTTTAGTGAGGTACAATCCAGGGCAGCCAATTGCAACTGAGATCAATTTGTATTTATCAGTCTTGAAGGCACAAAACAGCCTAATTAGTTATGAGGGATAAAGCAAGTTTGAAAAATTATCATATCTGTTTTTGGTCCATAAACTCACCCACATAAACCCACAAACATCGTAAGTCTTCAGGGAAAAAATAAAATACAAGAAATATATAATATTGTATAAAATGTAGAATGTAAAAAGTGCTTAAAGTGATGCTGAAAGGGCATTTCACCTCGTCCCTCCATGAACTTCTCATAAAACTCATTAAAGTCTTTCGGAGTCTCCAGCACATGGGTGTATTTGTGGAAGTGGTAGTATGACACCAAAACGTCTTTTGGATTTCTTGCCACGTAGATGACCTTTCAGTGATTGGGTCAAAAAAAGTGGAAAAAGACTTTCTCAGTGCTTAGACCATGTTAGACACCATACACTAGTTTGTAAGCATTTTCTTTGAATACAAACATAAGCATATTTTTTTTTCCTCCCAGAAGAGAGATAATAGACAGTAATATGCAAAAGCGCTTGACTAAATGTCTACAGCAGCAACTAACTAATAGATAATGAGTTTAGCTCCAGCCAACTGTAAAGTACAAACCTCAGTTCTGGTAATATAACAACAAGCAGTGATTAGTAAACCTGTATTAACCTGTATTACAAAGAGAACCGTACAAAAACATACTTGATGATTTATATAAAAATAATAATGGTTTTGTAAATATGTGCTTCTTCTAAATTTGATATCTGATTACACAGCCATGCTATTGTAATGTGTAGAATGTGGCTTGGTGTTTTCATGTTGACATAAGCATTCCTCTACACCATGACACCGTGGCCTGGCATTGGAACTTGACACTAGTAACAATGTGGTTGGTACTTTTCCTCTGTTATTTTCATAAACAATCTGAAAGTTTGACTTGTCAGACCACAATACATGTTCCCACTGTGTATCAGTTACATTATAGATGAGCTTGAGCTCAGAGAAGTAGGCAGCGTTTCTGGACGGTGTCGAAAAATGGCTTCCACTGTGCATAATACAGTCTTAACTAGTGTTGGATGCAGCGACAAAGCCTATTTGTCAAAGTATTCCAGAGCCCATGTAGTGATATCCACCAGAAAATCATACCAGCTTTAATGCAGTGCCATCTGAGGGATCAAATATCATGGGCATTCAGTTGTAGTTTTATGGCCTTACCCTTTACACACAAGAGAATTCTCCAGATTTCCTAAAGTTTTCCCGATATTATCCTAAAATCCTTGTAATTACTCTCTGAAGATCAGCCCATCCTTACTCTGAAAAGATGACCTTTCTAGGAATGCTTCCTTTACACCCAAGCATGATTGCTTTGCCTGTTTAAGTTTTGCCTGTTTTCACTTAAACACATCAAAGTAGATTTACAAAATCACTGCTTTCTTTATTTTTAATTTGTATTTCACATACTGTTACACCTTTTTTGGAACTGAGGCTTGTATTTTTGAAACTTTAAAAATCGTTGCTTTCTTTTAAAACTGTTGCCACTTGCATTAAACATCGTAAGTATTTATCTTAAGTTGCATTAAGGGATACATTTACTGCTGCAAAGTGATTAAAAGTAAATCTTAATATGCCTTAAGGATTTTTTCACACTTTCCATTTAAGGATAAGAGTTTTATGCAGCTCTTTTAAGGTATGTGTAATTGAAGACTTAAAAATAGTTGCCAGTTGTGCAAGAAAAATATATGTACAAGTATAAATGTAAAAACAATCTCAAAGGAATCTACACCTTGCAATTTCAACAGCTGCATATAACAGTCCATAAGTAAAAGAATGATGTACTTATTTTCACAACATCACCAAACCTCATAAGTCATAAATAGAGTAAGCTGCTGAAGCAGTGTTGAGTTGTTCAGCAGTATTATGGCCTGAAGAAGGTGAGCAGAGTCTTCCTCACCTTACCCCTCCCCTGTCTGAGGCTGATGGGGACGAATCTGTGCTGCAGGTGTGTGACACGGATTCTGGGTGGAGTGCCTGAAATAAACTTCTCCTCATTCCCAATTTGCTCGATCCATGGTATTCGCTCAGAGGTTAGCTGATCTTTAGTGGCCTCAACGTCCCCCCTGGCCTCAATCAGACTGAGGATTTGCTGGAGCCAGATGGTTCCTGCAGGTCAGAGGTAAGGGGTCAGCGGGTGTTTTAACAGACAACCCAGAGCACTTTACAATTGTAGGTGAATGTTATGCTAGGCCAAAGGACTTTTACTCCTAGCTGGGAAAAAAGCAGTGCAGACAAGCATGAGCATATGCTGGTTTGGTGCTGGTTTAGTGCTGGTTTAGCTGGTCACCCAACATAGTCATGCTGGTCGACCAGCATACCAGCATCCAAAACAACATATGCTGGTTTTGCAGGTGACCAGCATGGCTTTACTGTTTTCTTTTGTAGCAGGGCCTGTATAACAGTGTTCTTGACTAGTCAAAAATCTTTTAATATTTTTGGATTCCCTGTGCGTCTACTTTGCTATCCAACAGAGTTAGCTTTAGCCTCTTTGTAGGTATGCTCCACAAGTACTCTTTAACTGTCTTGTTCCAAGACTGACAGGTTGCTGCAAGGATGCTGTAATGAACATAAATCAGCCTATAGATCGGTGGCTAGCAGTCAGGACATATAGAGTGAAGTAAGGAGTTCCACTTGGGAATTCTCAAGCTGAATAAGCTGGTTCAGTTGGTAGACCAACATAGGGTATGTTTTTGTTTGAGTTTGATGGTTTAGCTGGCCACCCAGTATGAAGAACTTGACCAAGCTGGTCAACTAGCTAAACCACCAAACAAAAACATACACTATGTTGGCCAAGCTGGTCTACTAGCTTGACCACCTGTTTCACATGAACAAGGAATGTCCTCAGCTTATTAACCACATTGACCTTTAAAGACCAGCTACCTGCTGTATTGTAATGATAGAATATTGATTTTTTTTCCTGATACCTGATTTGGGGTAAGTGACAACAAAAACATCAGAATCCTGAACCTCCCAGTTTTGGATGCGGTCAACCTCTTCTGGAGAATGGATGCCAGTAATGAGGTTAAAGCCACGGTGGGATATCAGCTTATACTTAAAGTCTTCAACACTGTCATTTCCTGGGCAATCTGTTAAAAAATATATACATGTATTTTTAAGCAATAGAACACTTGATATGGTGTATTATGGTGAATAGCATTACTGCTGTTGGGTCAGCATATATCACAGCTGTGATTTTATTCAATATAGCATGCCTTGAGTGCTCTATGGCTTTTATGCAACCATTTATCAAAGTAAAGAAAGAAGAGAAAACTTAAACATTGTTTCAAATGTATGTTTTTAATGTTTGAAAACATTGGAAAGTTGTAAAGTTTTAAAGCGACTATTGTTGTTTACTTAACAGTAGAACTACTGTACTGAATGCACTGTCCTAAATCTATTTAATAACATATTCCATTACAATACATTAAAAGTAACATATTACTGTCAAAAAAAACCCAAAAAAAACCAAAAAAAAACAAAAACAAAACGCACAAGCAAAAAAAAAAACTCCAAATAATAACTTAGGCCAAAAGTGATTTTAAAGCATTTTTATTGCTCCATTCTTCATAAAGTTTTTGCAGAATGTAAAGGACAGCTGCCATGTTTAAGTGTTGTAGAAAAAAATGACAAAAATAGATATGTTTTTTTTGGACAGCAACAATATTTATATTAAGATATATATTTAGAATATATTTAGAAGACATAGTGATAAGGCACAAGTAGAAAACTTTGCTGTTGTAAATTTCAGTTACTTTAAATTTTTTTCTTACTGTTACTGGATGTTTTCTTAATGTTATTCTGTTTCATGAAAAATTCACAATTTAAATTATAAAATTTAATATAAAACATTATTTCGGCTCTCATCGCCTGCTTTAGTCCACTGCTGCTCCCATAATCCAATGCTGTCTCATGAACTAAGCAAACAATTCACCAACTAACAATACAACTCTTGCAAGCTTGACTATGAAGTGGGCAGCTATGTGATTTTCAGTCGCTGGTATGTATACTCTTCTCCAAACAGCAGTGTGAGTGCAGGACAACACCACTGCTAAGCTTATAACTCGTGAACATGTCCACTTCTGAGGAGACTGTTCAGTTCCATCATCCATCAAAAGACTTAAGTAATGCTGAGATTAATAACTGGATCATCACATTGATTTATTAGTCTACTCAGACTTGACCAAAAATGGCATTAATGCATCACTATTTAAAACTTGATTAAATTTGATGATAATTTGTTGTTGGCTCTCCCCTGCACTGGTCAACCAACTCTAATGAGGTACAAAATACAGTCCAATTACACAGAATTTAGAATACAGACCATTTAAAAGAGCCTATTAATCGTAACACTGTAAAGTACTGTCAGTTTCTTCAGCTGGTTGCATTTTATAAGCATGGTTTTCAAAGGAACTCCATATATATATATATAATATATATATATATATATATATATATATATATATATATATATATATATATATATAAAGGCTGTTATCATGCAAAACTAGATTTTCTCACCTTTTGGGAACGAAGACTTGAAGCTGGGACAGTGTGTGAAATTGCAGTGAAAACAGAGCAGTGATTAGTAAATTCTGTTTTACCTGTATTCAATTTAAGAATAATACAATTTGATATTTTACCTTATTAACTTCATTGTTTTTTTTGTACACATGTGCTCATTTTAAATATAATGCCAGCAACATGTTCCAAAATAGTTGGTTACCACTGTGATACATCACCTCTCCTTTCAGCAACTCAAAGGTTGTTTGAGAAAAGACAAAAAAAAGATCAAAATTAACGTTGGTGGGCAACTGCTAAAGCAGAAGCCAGAATTTTGTCTAAAAGCTCACTAAAGCATTAGACTTTATTAAAAATCTATAATATACAGAGTGAAACAGTAAGAGGACATCCAACTACAATATGGAGTTGACACATAATGCTCACTATAGCTGGCTATCAGGTTTTACTTAATTGCCTCTTAGCTAACTAACATTTGGTTGACATGGTGCAAAGAAATGGGGTTAGGCTAACATTAGCTAGCTGACAAGCCAACTAGTTCAAGAATTTGAAGAAACTTCACTTTATAGTGAGAGAGGTAGAAATAACATCATTTACATCTCTTTATATTCTTTAATTTTATATTTCTCTTCAGTATTTGGAAAAAGTGACACCAATATTTAGCATATATTGTTGTTTACAGTAAATTAATATCAATAAAGAGATCATATAGTGTTAATCTTAAGTTTTATATCTCTCAATTCCTCAACCTGTAGACAGAAAGTAAAACATGACAGCTCCGTCAAAGGCCAGTTAGATGAGAGTATTTTCACCAGTTAAAACCAAAAAAATTTTGATTGATTGAGCTCTCATTACTTCCTTTAGCTCTTATAAATCTGAGTTTGATAAAATATCCCATTACTAAATAAATTACTAAAGAAAGGGAGAGAAAAATGCTTGAAAGAGACTGACCGGGCTGAAGGAGCAGATCTGATTGAGGTTAGTGATTCAGAAGAAAGCAAGGAAAAGTTAAGCTTTCAATTAAAATTAATATTGAATTTAGTTGAACTTGAGAAAATGTAATAATTGTCACCATGACCATAACATTGTCACTTAGCTTATTAAACATGCCTACAGAGCAAAATCATACTCTGATTGCACCAACTGAGACTGAACTGATCTGTAATGTGTGTGTTTGCATATGTTTAGGACCATGTAGCTTATCTAAGAAAGGAGATGGCATTGATGGACTTTAGCACCTTTGCATACCTGTAGTAAGTGGATGCATATGGTGTTTACGTCATACCAGCTTTGTGCTTAATACAAACTACAAAGAGGGTGATATACTGTGTGCCTGTTTGACCAAATAGTCATTTTTATCAGTTTTCTGGTTGTTGGGGCCTTTAATAAAAGTTCTCCTGGGGATCATGCCTCGAGACCCCTCTAGTACAGGCTTAGCCGTCCTATGCATAAACCTTTTGTGAAATCTCTGATTATCTTGACAAAGATTTTGAATAAATATTCCCTTAATCAGTAATCAAATAGATTAGATATTGTAATCAATAACCAAATAGGAAGTATTGCCTAACAGAGAATATGAATTCTCTCACAAAGAGTAGGCCTTAGACTGTCTGCACAGAAGATTCTAGACACTGGAAAGCCACTGGGTTCACAGAGAGGCCTGTGTGTACCTATGACCCAGTGATAAGAGGGGCAAGCTGACCTTGATAGGTAGAGCAGTTTGCTAAAAACCTGTTGAAACCAGTTTTTAGGAGTGCGCTCATCATGCGATGGCCTAATTGATGGACGAAGAGATGCACCTATTAGAGAATGAGCTAATATTAAAATTTGAGAAGTAAGGCGGGGGGATATCACATTACCCCAGATAAATGGTATATAAACTGTTGTTTGGAACAATGTATTTGCACAGTTGGGTCTCTCGAGACCCTGTGCCACCTGATGCTGAAATAAAGAAGCCTTTTTCTCCCTTCCACAAGAACTCAGCCTCTGAAGTCTTTTATTCTACTTTCTTTTATTTTTGGTTGAATATCCTTTTTATTTTTTGTAAGTGATTAAGACAATAATTAGAACAAAACCTCAGCACAGAATAGTTTAGATTTTAAAAACCATCATATGTCGGGGTTTTGGGCAAGGAAGCAAATAGCTCTTGGTCCCGACATAGTTGGTGACCCTGTAACAGGGACAGGTAACAACCCTGAAAGACTCTGTGAAAAAGTGCCCACAAGCATGCGCTAAGAGTAAAAGGTAAGCAGACACCTGTTTTAAAAGCTCTGCTTTATATGTGAGAACTGGCTTTGTTCACTGGGTTATATGGTCGCTGATGCTTAATGATGAAATAGCTCTAAGAGTGATTTATGACTGAGGTGCAGTGAGAAAGGTAGTGAGCCACATGAGAAGGGAGGAAAATGAAGAAAGAAAAAAATTATAAAAAGGAGTAATAGTTAGAAAAAATCAGGTGGACAAATTAAGTAGTTTTATGCTGTGAAGATGATATAGTGATTGGAGTGAGCCACCGGTTGACAAAAAACAGTGTATGAAGAAAAAGCGCGCCAGAGAAATAAAGAGATTGAGAAAAAGGAATGAAGAGATAAACAGAGAGAAAAAAGCATGCTATAGAGAGAAAAAGCGCTAAGAGATAAATTTTAAATGTTTGTGTGCTTTGTCTGAAAGTGTGGCCATACAAAAAGTTGTAAAAAGAAAAAAATAGAAAAACCTCTGAAGATATGACTGCAGTGGTATGTGAAAACTAGGAGACAGGCTCCTTCTCTACTTAAGTGTAGATGTGTGTATTACAACATTGAGAAGATCTGTTAGAGAGGACCAGATAAGTTTAATACCAGCTGCACTTGTGCGTGAGTATGTGCCAGTGCTGTCATTCAAAGCTATAAAAAAATTGCTGTTGGGAAAGAAAAGGAAACTAAACTACTAAATGATTGAAATACAGAACTTAAAAAAATACAGATGAAACTTAAAAGTAAGGTCAAATATAAGCAACTGACAGTAACAGCTATATCAGTGATGAGTGTAAATGTAAATGGTGATAGAGAATTTAATAAACGAAAACAGAAGTTAATTGAGATATGGATAGGACCTGATTTAATTTACATAAATAAAGCGTGGCTGACGAAGTATATAAAAAAAAAATGCTCATGGTTCATCAATAGAGAGTCGAGTGATTGTATTAAAATACTGTCCACAGTGATATTATGGATAATCAACTTGTAATGGAGATACAAGGTGTTCGAACTTAATTTTGGCTTGAAAAAACTTACAAAGATGCAGAAGGCAGAGAGAGTTGGCAATCATCAGTGTTGATTAGTGAAAAATTATGGCAGCTGACCCAAGTGGCTTAATCGGGATGAAGTGCAAACTGTGTTCCTCGCCATAGGTTGAAAGGGAGAATTAAACTGATTTGGAACAAAAAACATCTAGCTCCATTGTTAAATACAATATTAAATAGTCAAACCCCTTTAGTGGCTGAAATTAAATTTGAATGGTGCAGAGAGCTTGAGATATACCTTACCGTTGAAAAAAAAAGAGAGGTCCAAAGGAAGAAAAAGTATGGGAG